AATGTATAAGGAGGTTAATACATGTAAATACAGTAAAAACCTGTATACAGTGAACACATATAAAGCCACAAAAATGTGTTCACTGTAAAGCAGGTGTTTCCAACAGAGGCAATTTTAACAGAAATCAGATGAATAATGTTCTGAGAATGGGTGTTCATTGGACAAAGGTGTTCACTAGAGAGATGTGTTACAAAGGCAGGTTTAATTGTATTGTCATTTCTAAAAGAAACATGGACACATTTGATCACTCCCTCAGCTCTGGTGGTTTCTTAATAACAGCCTTCTGTTAAGCAATTACCATTAAGGTTACCTCTCTGCACCTCATTGATGTTTAACTTCCAGAAAAAATGCATCGCTTAAAACTGAGGAAATGTATTTCTTACTTTGTAAATAATTCCCTAAAAAAATTATAATCACTTTTTAGTTTTTTTTAAATGCTCAAATAAATTACTTTGATCCAACATGTTCTAAGATAGTTTTCTTGGACTACTTTAATCAAAATAACATTTGAAATTTAATGCAAGGACTGAATGTCCCACCTGTCCAAAAGACAATTCTAGTCGCGTGCCAGATGACCTATTGAGACCCCTTCACCACAAAAACCACTACTTAAGACCTCTCCTAACCAGTATAACCCAATACCATTATCAAAACTCAAGTATGCTGAAATTTGATAAATGATTATTTGATATATAATTTTGAGTACTTGACACAAGTCTATCGCAAATAAAGGTTATGTACTTTTGCTATATGCTTAAATAAATTAAGCATTCATAAAATATATCTTAGGTAATAAATGTTGACATTTTTATGATGCCATCAGATTGTCATACATAATCAGAACCAGTCAATTGTCCTTTATTGGTTCTATACTTATTTGAAATACAGGTGATTCAGATAACCTCCATGAGGTTCACAAATTGTTTTCACAAATCAAATAATATTAGTAAAACTTGTCTAATCTGAACACCCCTGAGATGGGAGACGACCAAAGGTGTTCAGACTGGCAGGTGTTCACATTTCAGGATTTTCTATTAAGGGAGTCTATGCCAGATTTAAAAATGGGACAGAAAAAATGTTCACACCAGGTCTCACTTTATGTCCCATGAGTAGGGGTCAGGGGCAATTTAATGATGCCAGTAATTTATGGTTCTTACATGATTTTTGTTTCCAAACGGCTTTTAGTAGGTATATTTTTTGGGATGTTTCACAGAAAATAGATGTTTTCCAGATGGATGTCACATTTGAGCCAACCCCTGAGATAACTTGTGTTTTATAGCAAATTATATGTTATAGGGAGTTACCTAACCTAGACATCTGATTTTGCAACAAAATTCAATTTCAAAATAATGATAAAAGCTGTTTTAAACCACCTTCATCCATGTAATTTTGTGTTTTAAGATATAACAGAGGATCACAATGACATTCAACCTCCGATCACAGGGCTTCAAAATCCAGAATATATTCTTTCTTTTTACCCCCTGCGATAAGCAGTTAGCATTTCCCCCGATTGAGAACTCGCAATCTGATTGGCTGTCGCAACAATGCGACAGAAATCATGTATAAAGTCATTGCGCATAATTAGATTATGTGATTCTATTTAATCGGGCGCTTCCAAATTGGTTATAGCAGGGGGAAGAAGGAGGTACGGATTCTGGACACTTGCTTAGGAGGATAGATGACATTAAAAAAGCTTAATTCAGAATAGTTAAGCATGAAAATTACAATATTCCCACAAGCACCTATTAAACTATAAATTGAATTTTTCTTTTTAAAGCGTGAACATCATAATATGTCATGATATGCTATATATGAAACTCACCATGTGCTGGGAGATAATCAATACTGCATAAATAGAAGCAGATTGCAATGTAGTAGATCTGGTAAACAACAGAGTAGGTTACATCTGTGTGTATAAAGGTATATAGGTGAGAAACAGTTGTTAACAGTGCTAGAAATGTCGGATATGGACAGATTTAGTAAGTGATCTCTGTTGAAATGTTGGATATGGACTGACCTTACTTGAGCGTTCTCCAATGAAATACTGGATATGGATAGATCTAAATTGATTTGATAACTATAGGTTAAACACATATGAGTTGATCTTGAAATTTTCACGATTGAATAGCCTCCTGCACTGAATTGTTGGATTTTCCTTTCTCTTTAGAAATGTTGAAGGATTAGGGTTATTATTGAATGAACCATATGCGAATGAACTATTGGCCAGCAGCTGGGGTGTCCCTATGGACAAGCTCATCTTAAGACAATGGTAGACACAATGGATTGAGAAATCTGCAATATTAAAGTAAGTAGTTGGAATAATGGGGATTTGAGGTCTTCTTAACAAAGCAGACTTACATGAAATTATGATTATGGATCTATCCTGGAAGTCCAAGGAAGCCCAGGCCTTTAACAAATGAAAATGCAGGCCCGTTTGAGAACATGTCCTATTTTCTAGAAATGAGGCCTATTTCAAAAATAAGGCCCTATGAGGCTCTATCTGCCACCCCCCACCCCCTTACTATAATCAGCCTGTAAAGAAGTTCAATGCACTGGATTAGTAGGTGCACATTTTTTCAGTCAGTTTGACATTTTCTCATCATTCTGATATCTCTCACATCGTTCTGTTTTTTACCTAGCAAGACTAAGAAAGGAAAACAATGACATACAGTTTATCAAAATGTCTCTACAATGACATAGTTTATCAAAATGTCTCTAGATTGAAAAGGAAGGATACATCATGTGGGAGATGACATGGTTTATCACAATATATTCCCCCTGCTAACACTATAGTCTAACATAGTGATAGTAACACATGATGATATGTAGACTGTTCATAAAATGTCTAAGTAGTCACATTTTAAAATGCAAAATAAGGTGATAAAGAAAGAAAATAGCTAAAAATTAAGAAGATGGGCATATACCCCACACTCCAAATCATGTAGAAATGCAAGAAAATTTAATACTTCATTCAAATTTTAGTGAGAAATAATGAAAAATAGACATGAGCAGACGGACATTTTTTGTATGTGTTATCTTTGAGTAAACCTGTTCACAGTTCACCATGTTATTCACCTGGTTATACAGAGTGAAGTAAAACAGAGCCATTCTTCTATTTTGTTATTTCTTATTGATATTTCACTGTCTGCACTGATTGTACTTTAATATAGATTTTGACACACCCTTTTTAAAAGTTTAATTTGAAGTATTTCATTTACACTCTCTGAATAAGAGTTGATCTCATTCTGAATAAAGATGTAAATCCAATTACCAAATCAGAATTATGGTTCAGTTTATGGTCATTGCCTGAGGGGGTGTAATAGGTGCCATCGCACCCCCCCCCCACACCCTCAAAAAATGAAACAAAAAAGCAATGTTGTGAAATTTGTTGAAAAAATACTATATTATTATCTATTTGTCCCAATCAGAGTATAGTAACTATATACCTTCTGACTGTCAGGGTAGTTTTTACAATATACAGATTATTGTACACGTGGATGATTTAATGATAATGGATTTAGCATAAAACATAGTTTAATAAAATGATAATTTTTATCTATATTGGATGAAAAAATTCGAATAAAATCCTAATTTTTTTTATCTTAATCTAATCTAATCATCAATAAACAATAATAAGTCAATAGTATCCCCCTCCTGACAACCCTCCACTTCTCCCCCCCCCCCGCTCCCCCCCCCCCCGTCTTTCAAGTCCTATCCCTAACACACCATGGAAGTTAACCAGATGTTTCTGATACTAATGTCCTCTAATATAATATTAATTCCAGTAATACATCTCCATGTCACACAATATCTTAAATTAACCTCTCAAGAGACAGGTGCTAAAAATCCGCCAAATCCAGCAAAGAAGATAATAACAATGATTCCTGTATATACCTGATATATAACACCCCATGTTTTTGTTTAATGATGGGCAAAATTCACAACAACCTTTCAACTCATTCCATGACAAAGCCTTTTGTTGTTGTGGAACTTAAACAATGCTCCCAAACAGGGAACCTTCTCCTGTTTTCTCCAGGACGGTTAACAGAGATTTGACAGTGCAGATTCAATTCACCTGTCTACATTTTTTACCTACCATTCATTCTTTATACATTCATTTTTATTAAGAATTTTTGGGGATGATTTTTTTGTGCTCAGTTGAAAAATTACATTGATCCCAAAATAGGGGTTCTCTTCTTAAATTGTTGGATTGTTTTAGTAAGCAACATAGCATATATCTGTGTCCCAAAAGAAAATGTACTTGAATGAATTCCAATTTCTTGACTGGAAAGATTTTGTCAGCTGTCTTAATTTAGAGACAACTGGTCTTTGAATTCCTTGCCTGGTACCAGAATCACCCATGAATAAAATTCTGCAAAGGGTGAATTTAAATATGAAATATGCTGGAATATTAGGGAATTTGGATTTAAAAAAGTCAATCCAATACAGTCTAAAACTAGGGATGTTTTATATTTTGAGAAAAAATGACACACTATTTATTAGTAATGTTGTGATAAAAATTATAACAACTGACAGTGAAACGTTAAACAGGGGAACATCATACTTGAATTTCATCCACAAATCACTGGTCACACTTCTTATTACAATTTTAATTTATGCCCTTAGAGATTAAAATATGCAATGAATTATTTGATAGTCTTTTCTTAAAAAGATAGTGAGAATAATACTTTTATCAAAAACAATGAAACAAACATATTATCATTCATACATTTGTATTCAATAGTTTAAACAAACATAAAATATTGTAGAATAGCAGAAATAAACCCTACTTCAATCAAAGCAACCAATTCTAAATTCACTAAATCTTTTCACCTCACTCAAAAGGACAAGCTATCAATCATTAATAACTTTGAATAGGCCCGCCTAGTTCATTGAGAGGGTTGATTTGAAGTAGGTTTAATAAACCACCCATACAAGCTGTCGCGTGCCGTCTGTATGCTGCAAGGCATTATGGGTAATTTGTGTGTATATATTTGCAGGAGCACATGGCTGACTGACAGATGGAACAGAAATCAAAGAGTAAGATAACAACTTTGAATTTATACTCCAGATCCAGCATTAAGCCAATAAATATTGAATGAAATCTAAGGTTGAAAATGGACTAGACATAGAAGATAAAGCATATCTGTGGAGTAGTACTATAAGACGGAAAACGAATTCTATAAAATTGTATGTCATAAGGAACTTTAAAATAGAGACATTAGAAGAATCATGGATATCACACAGAACAACTTAGTAGTCTTGCTGATTATTCTTGCTCAAACATTAATGACATTGGGTAAGTGAATTTTATATATCTAAAGAAATTAAGTTAATGTCATGCTCTAATGCATCATTGCAATGCATGTATACTGTATCATCTCTCATAAGGAGCATACATTTAGTAAGTAATTAATCATTTACGATATAGTCACATTTTTGTTTTTTTCTTGTTTTAATTGCTAGGTTTTCATTACAACATAATTCATAATTTACTTCCTTGTCCATGTGCTATATATAGCAGCACATGTTTAATTGTTCCTATAATTATAATTAACATATTATGTACCAACTGTTTGCATGTATGTAGTTATATCAGTAAGATGAGTGTCCGTTTTCAAAGATTCAACATTGAGCAATGAAATAGGGAAGATTTCTCAGACTTAAAACATAACATCAAGTCTGTGGACATTCCCTCTAACCCCCCACCCCCATCTACTGACCTTCATAGTAGAGGTGGGGGGTGAGGTGGTCTGAAGGTCTTGGTGCATAGCTACCATATTCTCTCTGATAAGCACACATTGCGATTTTCAAATTGAAATTTAAAGGGGTAAGATATTGTGAGAGATTCCAATAAGTGCACATACAAAATAATTTACAAACATCGCCAATACTCTTTTTAGTTGTTATCACTAAGGGTTACATACTATACAACTCCTGCATTTCTTTATCTTGTTATGTAAATAATCAAAACTTACTTACTTGTCTTCTAGAGACCAAAATAAAAGTTGTATGTACGCTCATTGTGGAATTGTATGCTCATTAGAGAGAATGTGGTACAGCTATTACTTAATTTAAATCTAGAAGAAATATAGAAGATAACTCTTAAAGTTAAACTCTACTTGGATTCATTCCCAAAATTACTCCAAGATATAATAACATAGTACTACAAACTGGCAGAAATTACTATGAAAAATAGCTGGATCCATTGATGCAATTCAATTGATGTTATTCCCCTGAGTGAAATCATAAATCACTTTCTCATTTGTTTCTTGTCAAATAACTCCTTGTAGAATTCTACTATTTAATATTGAATGATTCTCAAACAAACTCAGTGAATGTACTGAAGCTTTGTAATCCATAACTGACTCTAATTATTGTTTCTAAATTCAACTGTTCATCTTAAATATTGGATTTCAGCTATTTTTAAATGTTGCCCTTTTTGCTGTTTGAAAGCGTTAGATTGTGTTGAAAAAATTGATTTGTTCTTGTTTGTTTTGTTTCTTGTCATCTGTTAGTCTAAATCATTGAACTTGGAGATGTTTTCAAATGTTGCCCCTTGTGTTTATTTCAGTGTATAGCAAGAGCAACTAATTCCACATACTGTAATACAAGTGATTAATTGAATTGATTTTGTTCTCTGTATTTTTGTAGCAGTGTTTGACATAAAAATATGATATCTTTGAAAACTTGTGATTATTGAATTTTTATAGACAATCTGTTAGAATTACATAAACAGGCACAAAATCCATTTCTTAAAACAACTAAATTACTACTTATTACAACGAATTTTATTTCACAGCATTCTGGCCAACAATTATTTTTTGATAATGTGAGATTGTAAAGCATGTGTTACTGATAATCCTAGTAAAAATGAGGTAATTCCAGATAGCAAAACACAACCTTGCGTTTATAAATCAAAGTATAAGTGGAACCCTGACAAGTAAATTGTCCTTTACCCATAAATATAATACCAAAGTCACATTGTAATATATGAAATAGCGTGAACATGAGTATACTTTTTGCAAGGGATATGTCATAAAAATGTGTAGAGTGAACATTATAAATCATAAGGAATCAGAGAAAGTCAAGCAGGTAATTGAAATATTTAGAGAAAAGGTATGAAATGATGGGAAAGGAGTGTTATTTTAAACATGGGTATAGGTGAAGTATAGAATGCCATATCAAGGAATATCAGTCTCAGATATTAGAAAATAATGGCATCGGAATTCAAGATATAGTAGAAGGAGTAATTGGTTGGAACAATGCTTTAAACGTATATCTCATGTCTAAATGACTAATAATACCAAAGTGGGTATCAATCTATACAATATACTTAAAGTATGTTGTATATTTCTACAAAAGCTGTATATTTCTGAATCTAAATTGAAAGAAATTCCTATAATTTCAAAGAAAATATGATCAAAATGACTGATGGGTGTGAAATCTCCTTTTTGAGAATCAAGGGAGAAACCAAAACTGATACTTTCTGGAGATATCAACCCCCCCTCCCTCATCCAGGAATCCATAAAAATAAGAACAATCTATGATCCGATGTGCATTTTTCCTTGAGATATAAAATAAGCAGATGGACCATAAAACAAAGGGATGAACCCTCTACCATAAATGTATATGAATGTGGTCAATTCCAGGGTTACATGGTGCAAGCCCTCAAATTAAGTCTAAAGAATATACATTTCCTTTCCAAATTCACTCCAAAATTTGAATGAAATTCTCAATTTTCTTGTATTTCTTTACAATTCGGAGTATCCCCTTCATACACATCCACCCCATTCCTTTCAAATTCCTCTATTTTGCACTTAATTTTGGATCTGAAAACTTGACCCCTGTGAAATTCTGTGGCATGGTCAGATGTGAACAGATGGAGTCTACATACATTGATAGATGTGATAGACACAGAGAATTAGCTCAGATTAGTGCTATCTGGGTAGCAATAAACCATGCAGGGAAACCAAGCTTCCATGGATTAACTATTTAACACCTTGTCATGGTGATACCTGAACCATTCACCAAGTAGTTCCTCCCAACATACTAAAGGAATATATCCTCTTAAAGTTACATTTAACACATCTAGCTGGGCAAATGGATTTCTATGTAAGAAGAGACACACAATACATACTCATTTAATGATTGGTTATATATATATTAGCTTGCAATTTATTCAAAATAGCTCCTTCTAAACTAGGGAGTTACTCTAAATCATATAGGTTCTCCAAAGCAAATGGTTACTATAAATCAAATGGTTACCCTGAACTGGGCAGAGTACTACATAAATGCCCATTTTGATATTTTATCAGTCTATCTATAAATCAATTGTTTTATATTAGGTTAGTCACATGTTTCTTCTCAAATAATATTACCTATAATTGCATATTATTGATTGTCTATTTTTCTTATACCTACATAGCGGAAATCAATTGATTCCTGACAAATATTTGTGTAATCACACACCTTACTATAGATTAAGGAGGCTTAATAGGTACCCAAAATGGGGAAAATAAAGGGATGGATAAGTGATATCTTGTCTGGATAAATTCAATTTTTGTTGAAAAATGTATGTTTGTGGTTGTGCTAATAAAATAAATGGATCTAAACATAGTGTTGCATACAGAATGAAGAGTGCTTAATGTGAGCTCATTTTGACAAAAACACTGTTTTCTTGGTTGTACAAGGGACTGTAAGGAGTAATTATGGATACTCCCATCAGGAACCCTTAAGTGTGTATAACTGGAAATATCACAGGATAAGTGGATCACAAGGTCTACTTGAATCTGATCTGATCCTTAACAATTTACATAATACATTGATTTAAACAGCTAGCTTGATACAAGAATCTATGGGTCTAATGGCTATGGGTTTATGGCCATGGGTCTATGGGTCTATCCATACCTGTATACACGGTATACCAGTGTATTCATTCAGTCATTGAAATACTTTGATACATCAACATGATCTGGGGTCTAATAATTTCACATTTCCTATGATTTTGAGGTTTAATAGATTATACCTCATCTAAATCATGAAAATTATGTTAATGTATTTCTTAATTCACACTTTACACATTTGTACTTTATAAGTTATCAAAACAATATTATCATTGCCCTCCATGAATTCCATAATAACCCCCTCCCGCAATGCCAAATTCATTTAAATGATTTAAATTTAAATCAAAATCTAACAAAAACATAATTGAAAACATAAGGTACATGTATTTTCTCTCACATCTAGAAATGTTCAATACCTCACCTGCTGTTTTCATTTCCCACCAAAAGTTACCCTGCGTGCAGAGTCTAGTTAAACTACACTCTGCCTAGTAGAGACCATATTACAGTTTAGTAGCCCCGCCCCCACGACGGGTACCGGTGACAGTTTGGGTAAATCGCTTTTGACCTACGCGCTGACCTTCCACCAATCAGCGAGCTTGAAGGAACATACGCCAAAAGCGTTCTAATTAAATATGCGCATGTCATTGGTCAATTCCCGGCTCAACGATGACATCAGAAGGAATGTATCATATAAAGAACGTCGGTCAAATTTGGCCGACGAACACTGATTGGCGCGGTGAGATCACAGGTTTATTTTAGTTTGAAAGAGTGAAGACGGAGCTCTCTTTTAAGAAGTGAAGTCAAACGAATGCAAAGGGTAACCAAAAGTCTAAAATAATTATCTAAATTATCACAATTAAAGTTAAATATTGATCTTATTTTCCACCTGGTATTAAATGTATTTTATTCTTTTAAATCTTGACTTCTGGATCCCTTTGATCTTCTGAATCAGCTACCAGCTTGTTTATTCTTTGGATCTTTTGCCAGGTGATTTGATCCCTCATCATAACAAACCACTTTTCGATCATCAAATTATGAATGCCTGGATCCCTAATTAAACATGACTTAAGATTTTTATTTGATTAAATTCCCTTTGATCTTTTCATGAATATTTGATCCTGTGATCCCTATTGAGTTTGATCACCTGCCTTTTCTTTGATCTTCTCAAGATTGTAATTAATCATTCAGGATCTATGCTGATCATTAAAGGATCCAATTACAAGAGGGTTCATATGGGATCACTTGGATCCTTTGATCATCATTTAAATCAATACATTTAATTGTATTTCTAACATTTAGAAGGAGGAGTGTATCAAAATCCAAGATGGAGGCCTGAATTTTTAATTGTTACCATAGCGCAGGTGTTTTTCAAGCTGTTTATTTAATAAGAAACCTATGAAGAGTTCAATCATACAAACGTGAATTCAATGAATCCATATATACCTCAACTGAAACCCAAATTTTATTTTGCTTCATTAAAAATTTCATACTGTATGAAGAAATGTGACAAAAATATTCTTAACATTTGTTATCCTTTTAAAATTGATAACATTAAAATCATTAGTTTGTTGTTTTTATTTCAAATTGCATGTAATAAAGTTGACTCCTGAAAATCTTAAAATCTTAATTAATCAGAAGGCATGTGAGGAGGTATAGGAATCAATATTCTCTACATCTTTAAGATAACAAATAGAGATTTCATATAGTGACCATTTGGAGTTATATTGGATATACTGGCTCTGGGGATTATTCAAGACAAGTTCTAATCATTCAAGTTGGCAATTGATATTTCCAAATGTTGCTGCAGTGAAACTAAATTGTTTGAAAATTAACATTTAATCTTTCAAATCAATAAAATAGATCATTGTTATTAAATTATACATTATTTGAAATTTTATATTTTTGCTATAATCCCAAATGCCCCAGTCCCTAATCCTGAATCAACATAAAACCAAAGGCCTTTTAAACACTTGAAGGGAGATCATGTTACAATACAATTCTTGGCGCGTGCCAGAATAATGTAGCACGTGTTATAAACAAACAGAGGTACACTTAAGAAATATAAAACTTTTGTTACTTTTCTTTAAGAATCAACATTTAATGGTTTACCCTTATGAAAAATTCAAATCTTAATATTTTAATATTTGTTTATACTTGAACTACATTCAAAAGAAAAATGAAGTAAAGGGGAATAAAAATAAATTTGTAAGATCAAATTTTTATGACAAATCACGACAAAAGATAACAAGGCATTAACATGACAAAATGTCACCACCTAGTTGCTCACAATATTATGAGTTCAAACTTAAGTCAGATTTGAATTTCTGAGAACTTGTAAAGTCAAATTTGAACTTCTGAAAAGATGAAGATGATTTTGAAAAAAAAATTTGGTCAATTTGAAGCAAGTTGAAAACAGACCTTTTTGACCTTTTTTGACCTTGAGAAGGTCATTAAAGGTCAAATGTCAAATCTAAAGTCAGATTTGAATTTCTGAGAACATGTAGATGATTTTGAAAAAAAAAATTAGTCAATTTGAAGCAAGTTGAAAAAAGACCTTTTTGACCTTTTTTGACCTTGACAAGGTCATTGAAGGTCAAATGTCAAATCTAAAGTCATATTTGAATTTCTGAGAACATGGAGATGATTTTGAAAAAAAATTTAGTCAATTTGAAGCAAGATGAAAAAATACCTTTTTGACCTTTTTTGACATTGAGAAGGTCATTGAAGGTCAAATGTCAAATCTAAAGTCAGATTTGAATTTCTGAGAACATGTAGATGATTTTGAAAAAAAAAATTAGTCAATTTGAAGCAAGTTGAAAAAAGACCTTTTTGACCTTTTTTGACCTTGACAAGGTCATTGAAGGTCAAATGTCAAATCTAAAGACATTATTGAATTTCTGAGAACATGTAGATGATTTTGAAAAAAAATTTAGTCAATTTGAAGCAAGATGAAAAAATACCTTTTTGACCTTTTTTGACATTGAGAAGGTCATTGAAGGTCAAATGTCAAATCTAAAGTCAGATTTGAATTTCTGAGAACATGTAGATGATTTTGAAAAAAAAAATTTAGTCAATTTGAAGCAAGTTGAAAAAATACCTTTTTGACCTTTTTTGACTTTGAGAAGGTCATTGAAGGTCAAATGTCAAATCTTAAGTCAAATCTAAAGTCAGATTTGAATTTCTGAGAACACGTAGATGATTTTGAAAATTTTTTTTAGTCAATTTGAAGCAAGTTGAAAACAGACCTTTTTGACCTTTTTTGACCTTGAGAAGGTCATTGAAGGTCAAATGTCAAATCTAAAGTCAGATTTGAATTTCTGAGAACATGTAGATGATTTTGAAAAAAAAATTTAGTCAATTTGAAGCAAGTTGAAAAAAGACTTTTTTGACCTTTTTTGACTTTGAGAAGGTCATTGAAGGTCAAATGTCAAATCTAAAGTCAGATTTGAATTTCTGAGAACATGTAGATGATTTTGAAATTTTTTTTAGTCAATTTGAAGCAAGTTGAAAACAGACCTTTTTGACCTTTTTTGACCTTGAGAAGGTCATTGAAGGTCAAATGTCAAATCTTAAGTCAGATTTGAATTTCTGAGAACACGTAGATGATTTTGAAAAAAAAATTTAGTCAATTTGAAGCAAGTTGAAAACAGACATTTTTGACCTTTTTTGACCTTGAGAAGGTCATTGAAGGTCAAATGTCAAATCTTAAGTCAAATCTTAACTCAGATTTGAATTTCTGAGAACACTTAGATGATTTTGAAAAAAAAAAATTTAGTCAATTTGAAGCAAGTTGAAAACAGACCTTTTTGACCTTTTTTGACCTTGACAAGGTCATTGAAGGTCAAATGTCAAATCTAAAGTCAGATTTGAAGGTCAAATGTCAAATCTTAAGTCAGATTTGAATTTCTGAGAACATGTAGATGATTTTGAAAAAAAATTTAGTCAATGTGAAGCAAGTTGAAAAAAGACCTTTTTGACCTTGAGAAGGTCATTGAAGGTCAAATGTCAAATCTAAAGTCAGATTTGAACTTCTGAGAACATGTAGATGATTTAGAAAAAAACTGAAGTCAGTCTAAACAGTATTTGTTAAGTTATAGGAAGTTGTAAGAAATTGTTACAGACGCCGGACGCCAACCGCCGGACGCCGGACGCCAACCACCAACCGCCGGACACCGTCGCAAAAAAACGGAGACCATAACAATATGTCACCACTTTTGGTGGTGACATAAAAATCTTAACTTGAGATAGAGAAAAACAAAATCATAATTTTCACAATGGTATTGACAAGTAGCATGAGACCAGAGAAACATATGGTCGATTCAGAATAAGCTTGTCATGAACATAGATCTGTAAAGTTGCACCCTCAAGGTATGCCATATCATAAGGGACATGTATAGGTGTCTGACTGTGTTCCAGCTGCCCCCTGATTTTGAAGGGTATGAGTTGATCTTTTGTGAATCAAATGGGTTTCTTTAATACCTTCATGGAAAATTAGTCTAATTATCATTCAGTCTTATTCCCAAATACAGCAAAACCGGTCTAGGGGGAACACCTTTGGAACCTCTAAAAAGTGTTCAGTTAAGTTAGTTGATCTCCAATGTAAATGATTTTTATTCGACCAATGAAAATGCTCTTTTCAATAGTTTCATTTCACTTCTTAAGGAGTGATACATTTAATAGGCCATGAACGACTTGAAAGAGGTACAACATTAGATGTAACCACAGAAACATATCCAAATAAAAATCTGGAATATTCCCTGATCATGTAAACCAGAAGTTCGCAAAGTACCCAAATATACAGGTGTAAATAACACTGTTCCTTCCTCAGAATGTAACTGAAACTATGTTGTACCTGGAGAAGAGTATTTTCTGTTTACTTCTCTTAAAGTAGATCTTGAAACAATTCCATCCATTCATATGAAAGACTTTGTTTATGTTATGCATTTCCTACAAGCCATGTTTACAATTCAGGGTACTTAGGTACCTCTGGGTCATGTTTTAAAGGTATATTAAAGGTATTCTGAACAAATACAATGTAACTTGTACTATTTTACAAATATAAGGAAATCTGGCAAAAACTGTGAAGATCTACATTCAAACTACAAAAATTGTGTTTGTGTTTTTGTAAGCAATGTTATACACAATGTTATACAATGAGGCAAAAGATATAGTGAGAAATGTATAACTGAACGCAATCAGCAATTACTATTTGCATCATTTAAAGTATTCACTCATTTGCAATTGATCCGGACCCAAAATAGATGAAATGAATAGAATGCTAGTATCAAGCAGCCCTGTATAAATACTAAGAGGTTCAAATTGCACAAAATTCTGATCAAAATTCCACTAACTTACACAAAATATTCCAGAAATTATTCCAAAATATTATTCTACATATTTTTGAGGGTATCATATGGTGTTAATGGATACACACAAACTCTCTGCCAACTTGTGCTAATTAGACAGAATATTTGATGCATATACCTTCAACCACTAAATGCCAAAACTGTCTTGCCGTCGCTAAAAATATCACAGAATATGACGTGGGTTAGACCAATCAATCAAATTATTCCAATCAAAATTTGAGCTCTAACATAACAAACATAAAATTTGATTCCAGTTTAGATCAAACCTAAAAAATGTTATCATGAAGATTACAAAAATAAAATTATTATTTTATTCTTTATCTTGTTTGGCTGTTTGTTTACCAGGAGTGTGCTCTTCTTACAGTTTAATGAAGGCAGGTAAAGAAAATATAAATCTTATTCATGAACCCAAGTTCATCCCTGGTTCATCTACCTGAAAATAGTGGTTCTTTGGTGCATAGAGTAGGTAGTCATTTGTCAGTTCATTTTTTGTCTGTTATTTGTTTGTTTGATCACTAGACTGGACCATGTGGAGCAACAATTGAAATAGTACCATATCAACATTTGTTCCATAACATTTTCTTTTGCAGCCAGATAAAGTTGGTTTCTATATATGCAGTGCAAGTCATGAACACTAACTATTTGTTTGCTTGTTTGTTTGTTTGTTTGTATATTTACTTGTTTACTGAGGCTATATGATGCAATATCCCTTATGAAGCCTTTGTACATGTTCAAGGTAAATCATATTACCCACAAAACTCATGTTGATAATAATATAATTTTAGGTGAAAGACAAACCACAAGTCGATGCTTCAGCGACCCAAACAAAGTCCTCAAAGTTAAATGTCCCGACCACCACATGCTACTGATCTTTGAGACCAAATATGGTAGGAACAATGATACAGACGTATGTCACTTCATGCCTGGAGATTGCGTTGAGAGGGAGCGCAAGCATTACGATGTGGGACGTCAAGAATTGAGCATTAATCTACCATCAGGATCAATAGGAAGGGTGATCCCTAACTGTGGATACAGCACATACTTTCAGATTGACTACGAGTGCGTACCAAGTAAGTATGCATAATTTAAATTACTTATTTCAGCTGCCAAATTCTGCTTCAAAATCTTGAGAATATAGCAGGGAAATACAAGGTGAAACACGAGGAAAACACAAAGGGCAACATTGGAAAAATAAGGAAAACACAATGGGTTTACATAATGAAAACAATAAGAGCATAATAAGGAAAATAATATTCATAATAAGGAAAATAATAACAGCATAATAAGGAAAATATGAGGCCCCGGGCAACATGAGGAACTAAACTGAGTCAGTTGGTTTAAGTAACTATGAACATCTTGAATCATTGAATTGTCACTTCATGAACATAAACCAAAATGATCAGAAATCTATAATATTCAAGTCATCTTTTGGTGCAGTCTCTCTTGACTTATAGTAGATATATCTCAACTGTAATTTAGTATTGGCTCTATTATATCAGGCTGAAACATCATTTTCCCAATTTCGACCAATTCATCTATCATAATCCAATTTCATGACACATAACATCACCGAGCAATCTAATAATAAACCCAATTCCAATTTCTCATATTTAAGAACAAATCTGCACAAATATAATACTTCATATTTAGGTGACAAAATTACTTTGAAAACATCTACGTATGATTTGACATTAAAGAATTTCTATCATGGCTATGCTTTAACTAAGTCAGATTTCAATTTAATGCCTCAATGATAAAGGGGTTGAAAGATATCAATATTTCAAATATAGCAATTTCATGTTCTGATTCCTTTAATTCTAGGTTTTAGAAAATAGAGACTGTGTCACTATTCACCAATTAACCTATATAAAGAGACTGTGCCACTTTAAAAATCCCCCACAGAAAGAGACTGTGCCACTTTAAAGTTTATTCACAATGTTACAAAAATTATTAGATCTCAGACCAAAAGGAAATCTACCTAGACTGAATGTAAACTTAGGTGTGCATGTGAACGTCACATTTGAGTAACAAAAACCTGAAATTAATCAGCAAATTGACACTGATGCATCAAAAAACAATCCATTAAGAAAAGTCAACGTGACAAATTTTATTAATAATTCAGGCATATTTCTTTGATATATAGTGCTACAAGAAAATGGATCTCCATACATGTCACTGCATACTACATGGCGGTAATTAATGAAATTGAAACCAGGAAAATCAATATAAAAACCTTAGCTGGGAGTTTAATTCCCAGCATGACTCAAAAAAATATTTTAAGTGTGAATTTACAAGACACAGAGTAAACAATATCGCACCCTAGAGTATAAGATATAATTCTATTGGAAGATAGTAGAACCAGGGCTAGATTTTCATAAAATAAAGCATCCATCAAATTTTAAAACAAATCATTCAATGGTTCACATTGAAACATGATGACAATAATATGAAATAAAATGTTATGCTATGTTAAAAATGAAAAAGCCTCCTTACAAATGTGACATCTACCTTTATTTCTTTTTTTTCCGGCACAAGTCTTTTTACTTTAATATATTATTATGTGTATTGTGTATAATGTAAATGAAATAAATGGGCTATAAAAGCCGAAAAAAAAATGAAATAAGTAAGCAAAGTCAAATTCAAAATGGCCGCCTAATTTATACCAAGCATGCCACACTCCTATTCATGATATTCTGGTTTATTTACAGCCGAGGACACTGTTAATGTCTGTGACAACAAAGTAATGACATCGCAACAAGGTTACATCACAACTCCCAACTATCCTTTCAACTATGGGAACAATCTCCACTGTACTACAACAATCAGAGTCCAGCCGGGGCAGAAAATCAAGCTCTACATCCTGGACATTAACATCGAGGAGCCACCTAAAGACTCCAGCTGTAATGACTACCTTTATATGAATGATAAGGTATGTAATAAAATGTCTTTCTCCTTAATATATTGAATAAATATAAGTTATTTCATGGTTGATTTTCAATATATGAACATGGATCATTACTAAATGGAAATTCTCAAAAGGATAAAAGTCATCAACTTCATGTACGTACAGTAAAACCTGTTTAATACAAACACCTCTTGGACCGACCAAAAGTGTTTGGATGAGCAGGTGTTCATATATCAAGGTTTTATAAACATGTGATTCAATGCGAGGTAACAGATTTTGGACTGAGAAAAGGTGTTCTCATTGAGAGGTGTTTGGCTTAGAGATGTGTTCGATATACAGGTTTCACCTTACCGTATATGTATGTTAATAACTTCAGGTGTTTGGCAGCAGTACAGTATGCAGGACCATGCAGGACCACATAGAATTGTTTCACACATACCACTACAACTCCCTGGAAGTGACCTTTGTTAGTGATGCACAGGTTAACAGAAAAGGATTCTGGCTCTATTATGAAGGTATGGAACTTTACATTCATAGCGATAGTGATGATAATGGCTCTAATATGAAGATGGGGAACTTTACTTATCATCAGACATCCAATCAGCATATTTACCTTTCCATTATTCAAAATTTTGTTATCAAATGATGATTGGCGGACCGCGGTGAATCTTTTATTTTAAAAATCAGCAAAAGTCTGTCCAAAATATAAGTTATGTTTAGCTGGATAGAGGGGCTCTAAATGTAAATAAAAAGAATATCCAGGGACATGCTCTCCCTCAATCATCTTATCAGTTTATTGAATCAAATATAAGTATTAATTTTCTGTTATAGCTGATCCTGAAATGTCAACAACAACAAATAAATTGATTACCAAACAACCAACAAACCCAACCATGACACCTTCAAGCACAACCAACACATTACAGAGCACAACCAGCACACAACGAAGAAACCCAAAAATCATGATAACAACATTGAAGCCACAGAGGCCGACATATGAGACGTTATCAGAATCAATCCCTACACAGCTGGTGCCAACTGAGCCTATGCCCACTGAGAAAAAACAGGATCTTCCATTTGGTAAGTTATACATTTTTCAAATCTCGTCACAATCAACTCTATCATAATTTGTCACAATCATTTCAAGAATATTCGTTCACAATCAACTCTAGTGTCACAATCATTCGTATCATATTATGTCACCGCCAACTGTATGTTATGTCACAATCAACTTGTTTTATGTTCTTTACTCATTTATCACAAATAAAAGCATGAATATTGGAAAATAACATGGGGCAACATCAGAAAAATAAAGGATATTATCTTGATTCTAATAGGTAAACATAACCAATAGAATCAAAAGAATTATTATAGTTCATGACTTTCCAAAGACAAAGGTTCTAACACTTTGTTTGACACCTTGTAATATGCAAATATGACAACATCCTAAGGGAATTAATTTGCACATCTAAAGATACACTGTCCAGCTGTATGTGTAATTCTTGTAAAATAATTCAAATTAGGACGCACGGAATGAAATCAACTTTTCAACAATTTTAGAGGTGTACAATATAAATTATGATTCCATTACTGAACTGGTATTTTTTAAATAAAAACTTTTTTGTTGAACTTGACACGAAATGTTTGATCGCAATACCTTTTAGCAAGACATTATTTGACAGATATGAAACCTTTCTATTAAGTATTCCTTAGACAGATGTTGAGCTATGTCAAGCCGAGCAGATTAGGTTGATTCCATTATATTCTAAAGCTGGCAATACCTTCCATGCCTTGAATCAGAGAGAGAGGAGGGCTAGATTCAAAATTGGCATAAGTTGGCATAGATTGGCATAAATTGGCATTTTTTACCCAAATTTGTATTTTTGGCAAAATTGACATTTTCCCTTACAATCTTAAAATTCTCAGGAAGTTTACTCTTGTAAAAAGTTGATGTACTTTAAAAAATAAATTTCTTTATGTTTCCTGCCATTTAAATCCTGTGTTTATTTCAACGAATTTGATTCGTCCGTCGATTTCACCAATTCTAAAACTAAAGTGCCCTACACCAAATTCCATGGCGATCCATGATACAAGAAGAGAGGGCCATGGTATTCCATGGTGAGAGATTTACTGGGTGATGAAGTCTCCCAAAGGAGACAATGGGATACTTAAATGTTGGGTATTCAATATTCATGAATAATGATCAGTTGTTCTATAGTCAACTAGCAAAACAATCTTCAATAGCAGACTTTTATATACAGTCCCACACACAGAATTAAGAAATGAAGTACACCTCTAGCTCTCAGTTGATTTACATAGACTAATTTCATAAATTTTTGGGGTCTGTATGCCAAACTGTATCTGTATATAGAACAATAGAAAGAATATCGCACATGTTAGAGACTGTAAATTTCCCAAGAGAATTAATTAATGGTCAAAGTCTATCGCTTTGATATTCTTCAAGAATTCAATTAGTGGCCGACCATAAAAAATATTTTCACTTTGATAAGGGAAAAAATTCTATTATAATCCAGCTGCTTCTGGAAATAAAGATTATTACTACCCGGAAAAAAAACATTTGAAGTAGAAAACTGAGTGCCTTGTGGACATCTCATATTAATATATTGCTTCTGAAAAATATCAATGGCCATCACAAGTCGATATTGATATATCCACAAAAGAGTGCATTAAAAAAAGATACAAGTATATTAAAATATGGCAAATAATATTTTTGGAAAATGATATTTGTCAGTTTGGAGACTTTTTGAAAAAATATGATACTCTGATTCCTATATTGATTATTCCTTCACATAATGATACATGAGTAAGATTAGACAAATATATAGCATGTATAACTTACATGTATGGCATCAAGAATATCTTTAGAGATGAACGATACAAGATGTTTAAAGACGTGATCATATGAATATAATAAATTTTGAAACAAAATAGAAATTACGAAACGTGCAAATTAAAATCAAAATAAGTTAAGAAAATATTTTCTAATTGATCTTTTTCTTTCATAAAATAGTGTAGGAGTAAACTTTAATTGATTATACTGTTTGCACAGACGTTTTATTCAAAATCAATTGATCTTTAAAGTTGAATAAGTGTAACAAGTTAAGTTTTACTTGTTAATTTTGTATTGATTTTACATGCCAAAATTGCTAGTTTTAAGCTCGATATTGACGAACAAAATAACAAATTTGCCTAAGGAGCAATTTTAGCATATTTACTCAGTCTTTGAAAGATTTGTTATGTGAATTTGAACATGTTTTACATAACATATCTGGCACTCTTAATATGGCATGAAGTGATGTACAGCACACATGTTTTGAAAAATATCAAAACAACACAGTGATATAATCAGCAAATAAAACACTGTAATTCACCTGTAATTTCAGAGGCAATTCCTGGGGTTTTAAATAAAACTGCAACTTGCTTCAAAATATTAATTTTAGTGGATTAATAATTCATCTCAGTGTTTCAAAGATTTTAAATAACATTATTGCTTTAATAACAAGATTAATCGATTATTACAATATTTCGATTAACAGGAAGCAGTTTCAAAAATCCACAAGAAAAATCAAAATGTCATAAGATTTGTTTCAAGTATAAATGGCATGTTTTAATCCATGGGTGAATTTTGTATTTTCAGGTGCCATAATAGGAGGAGTTCTAGGCAGTCTGTTGTTTGTCTTGGTTGTCCTGTTATCCCTTCTCATATACAGAAGGTAAGAACATCATCTAAAAACGGAACTGTCTAGAAAATATCATGAAGGTATTGGATGAAGCTATGGGACAGGCAATGCAAATACCTTGCCAAAATTAATTTTAGCCTCTCAAATTCTATAGAATTTAAAAGCAATGGAACTTGGAGCTTCGCTCAAATTTAGCTAAAATGCGTGGAACAAACTTGAGTAAAACAAATATTAAGTTCTGTTAAAGTAATCAATAAAAAATGACAAGTTTGATGTGCAATAAAGCTCAAAACAAACATAAGATGTTCTAGCTTTTCCAAATCTATGGCAGATAGTTGGATTGAAAGATTAAATCCAGCAATACCTGGATATATCATAAGTTACCATAGCAACCAGAGATCTTAAGTCTCTTAAATGCTGAACATGATACACCTGTTAGGAACATATGGTCCTGAACTAGATAGATACTGAATCTATATACCAGCTGAATGACAAGAGACTGATTATACCATATAATCTAATCTATTACCACTATCAAATCAGAAAATGGAGAGACAAAACATTATTTTTTTTATAATTGTATTTGCTTTTTCAATATGTTACTTTGATAAATGAATGCTGTTTAATTTTTATCAAATGTATGAAAACAATACTTATCATTTAACTGTTGCTATGGTAACCAAATTATAACTTGATATCTGTTTTTCATAATGAAATACAAGTAAGCAAATCTGATTTTCTGTAACTGCTTGATTTTACGTTTATAATCTTCATTTCAGATTACGAGAGAAAAAGCTTAGAGAACAGCGCCATTATGATATGCACGTGTCGTCAAGTATTGCACAGATCCAGAACAGCCTCAATGACGACTGCTCTGGTGGAGAATGTAACAGCTTCTCAGAGGGTTACTATTGCTAACTTTGGTCACCATAGTAACAAATGTCATAGTTACATAAGCAAAATACAGTCAAATACATGGTAACTATAATGGTTATGACAACTAACATCATTGTTTCATCACCTGCTGCCATAGTTACATTTACAGTTACTATGGAAACCACAGTGAAGAATGAGAGTTTAAGAATGATTGACAAAGATGTACTTATTTCATAAGAGTTTGTTCAATTGACAGAATGCAGTGGCCAAGACAATGTTACTTTTAAGACCATTACCATGGTAACAAAAAGTAAAGTAACAGATGGTATGGATATTCCAAGACATAATCACAAAGTGATAGAAGAGTAGAAATCTGTGGAAAACAACAGATGAAGAATGCAAGTTAAAAGTGCAAATGTGACAAGGGACACAAATGTATGCAAGTGAAAATAAAGAATTCACCAGAGACACATTTAAAAAAAAATTAAGACTGTACATTGAAGAAAGGGAGAAATTATGTGACACGTGACATATTGTCACATCAAAATGTCATCCTGAAGATGTCAAAACAATGTCAAGTGACAAGTAAATGTGATAACACCACATCAAACAGTGAAAATAATTATGTTCATGAATAAGTGTCTTAAAAATGAATCTATACAAATGTACATGAACCCAGCTTTACACATTCTCGCATCAAATCTATATCTTGAAAAATTCATGAAATTGATTTAAGAAAACAACAGAATTGATTGAGTTGAATTATGAAAGTGAGAGAGTATAAAAAAGATTTGATGCAAGACAAACAATTATGCATACACACAATTAATTAGAGATTATGTACATATGTAAATAAGATAAGACTTACAATGTATATATTTATTTCACTATTGAATAATGCTAAACCAAAGTTGTACATACATTCAATGTTGTAGTCATTTATATGAAGTCACCCAGTGTTTTCCTTGTCTAAAATGACAGTGCTCCATCATAAAAAAAAACAATAGACCATATGAAATTTAAATATGATGAAACCTCAAGTAAATAACACTAAAAATCAAGTGACCCCACTATTATTTAAAAGTATAAGAGAAGTTGATGGTTTACAATAGAAGAATCAGAGATGGCAAGTAGTCTTGTTAAGCCCTTGTGCCCCCTTCTCTCAAACACTCCCTCCCTCTGGGGAGGAATAGATAGGGGAGGGGGAGGGAGCTCAGAGGCTTAATGCAAAACTACTAATAACAAAGTTATATCAACATTTTTAGACTCATGTCTTGCTCTATTTGAGATGGTAAAAACACAATAGACAACATAAGGAAACAAGGTGGAATCTTGTAATTTATTCTTACAATGCTATCACATCCCCCACCCTGTTATAATGCCTCTGATTCTAGCTTTATTGAGAGCCATCAATTTATAAGTCTTCAGATTGTGTTTCACTTTAGTACTTAGGAGAAACAAGTGCTTTTATAATTTGCCTTAATTACTGATTGTACATATAACATACAATGCCACCTGCATAATTATTTAATTTATATAAATTATCATTATAATTATATGTTTACAATATGTATTTATTTAATTTATAATTGAACGCCAATAGGTAAGTAATTAGCTAGTTCATAAAAAGATGATGTTGAAACTTGCCAAATTTGTGACTATTTAATTTATGTTTTTACTTATAGTTTTTCTTTTTGAAAAACAAAAAGTCAATTTAGACTTTAACAAATCAAATGTAATTTATTTGTAACTTAAGGATTGAATATTTATATATTTATTTTCTCATTGTACACCAAATTAATTTAAGGTAACTTTTAAGAATAAGTCATGTCTCATTTCAATGAAACAGGAAAGTTTCAAAATTGCCAAAATGTAATTTAATGTAGGCTATTATATAGATCAGATCATTGTTTTCATATGCTTAGTATAGTCAATGTCGTATAGTCAATATAGTCAATGTAGTATAGCCAATCTGTAGTATTATTAGAACCCTGTAAATAGATCAGACCATTCCATTTAAACCTAATAACTTCTGATAATGTAGCCTCTTAAACTTAACTTATATTTTGTAGCTTATACACGTATAAAACCTCCAGTTGTGAATAAGAAATTACATTTGACCCCTGAGTCTTACTCTGAAGTGCATAATTAACACTATGCTTTTACACTATGCTTTTGACTACACTATAAAAAGGTGCTGCACTCTGTGGATAATCTAATAATTACATGCCACCAGTTGAAAATCTGTTTGCACCCTAATGGTGAGATATTTTGTCCAAAACAGGTTAGAATTTTGACCCTGTTGAGCAAAATTCCTGGGGAGATCACTGAATGTCATTTCCAATTGTAATTTTTATACAGCACCAATGTTGCACTTTCTTACAGGGAAAGGAGGTGTTTTCATTCACATCCTTTACTGTAATATCAACTATAATTAACATAAGTCCATTTACTCCTAAGTTATGACATTACATTAATGTCACAATTACAGGAACATATGTTACATTTGAGTAGGTCATTAAATTAACTCAATTTTTCCCTCCAAATTGTCAATCTGTTGGTTGCTATAGCAACTCACTTAGTAGAAGATAAAAACTCACTCTAGATATTAACATATTACAAATTTCATTTACTCCTGGTATTTGACTTTACTTGAAGAGTTATTTGTATTATTAACCGTTTGGTAATAACACAAAATATATTGTAGTAGTATTTCAAGAGTTTTAAATGGTTGGAAAGTTATGATTTCAAAATTTTAATTTTCGAAGCTAGATTGTACAAATGTAGATACTGTAAATAAACAAAATTGTAAATATATATGTCATACATGAAATTGACAAATGAAATAAATAATTGTAAATAAATAAATTCAAATATGTTATTTGTTGAATAGATTAAGGAGAATGCACACAGCGGGGCACACATGTGAATACTGGAACCCTATGGGGTCAGGTCTTTTATTCTGGGAGTGAAGAATTGTATTCAACTAGACTTATTGCATTTTTGACAGATATACGAGATTCTGACTCCTAATAAACTTCATCACAAATATACACAATATGTGGCTACAAAAATTATTTGAATTTTTTTTACTAAAATGGTCATTTTGATTTCCACAATTTTTAGAGAATGACCATTATAACTGTGAAGGGATCTTACCACTTGACCTTAATTCTACAAATGATTAATTTAGTTATCTGCAACAACAAGTCACATTTCGTAAGTGTGACTTTCATTTTGAAATGAATAAAAATTTACCAGTCAGATCAATGTTCAAAATTGTCACTTGCAAGCATTTATTTGTCACATTTGTTCATTTTACCCCAATACCCCAAAGTCGCATTTAGTCATATTTTTAGAGGCCATGTCACCTTGTCACATACCCCTTGAGGAGCCCCCTAAAGCTGCAAGGAAAAATTAAATTGACCAATACAAAGGAGGTTATTTTCTTTTACAGATTTCATTGTATTGGGAATGATAAATTGAATTCTGATCTTAATTATTAGACCATCTGCAGATTTGGCTACAATTGTATTATTGCATCCAACAGCATAACAGCTAATGCCTTCTGTCCAGTCTAGTCCGTGTGATGGTCCTTGAAATGAATGGCATTATGGTTTTATGTTACAATTCAAAATAATAGGACCCCCAAATAAGAAGTGTATGACGTATGATTCGGGGGGGGGGAATAAAGTAATCAGGCGTGAAGTCAACACTCTCAGTCATTTAAAATTAGACAATTCCTCTGAATTAAAAGTTTGAATAATATTAAGAAACAGGCACCCTCGGATTGAATTTTGAGCATGAATTGAGTGTGCTGGGGTATTTGACCCCGCAATGACCCCCTTAAAACTGACCATGTGGGGCTTTACAGAGCAGATGGATGAATCAAATGTTAAAAATCAGCGATATAGCCTTTTATTAAACTACAACAGTTGTTCATTTATTAAGAGACATGGATTAATGAGATATTTTCAACTCATTTAAAGTTTTGAGATATTTAATTTTACTTGAAGTAATGTTCTAGTTGAGACTGTATACTGTATTGTTCATATATAGCTTTTGTAAAATATATTTTTAAGGATGATCTTCAATCTGATTAAATACCTCCTTTTAGCATTGCTTGCAGCCCTTGTGTACTCCTACCCTACCTTAACCACACAAGCCTTTACAATGCAGGAATATAGAAGGGGAGGGGAGAAACTTGATGAAAACTAAACTCTTCAATGTGTCTGTAAGAACGCCATCTTTAAAACCTAAAAAGCTCAAAACCTAGTATGTGTTAAATCAGACCCAGCAAACCAATCTTTAATGACGCCATCTTTTAAATAAACAAAAAGTTCAATAAGTGTATCAGTTATTTTTAGGACCAAATCAATGCCTACAAATCTTTTTAAAATAATGTTTTCATGTATAATGAAGCTTGACTAAGAATTAAATAACTATAAATAGATTTGAAAAATGTAGTTTATTAACCTTTATACTCGGACATGATAATACTTAACAACATGTTTAACAAATTTAATCTCTCTGGCTAAAGAAGCAAAAAGAAACTCTCTGAGCAGGAATTAAAGAAAATTTATTTTGAGGGAGTGACATCTTTTAATTAAAGCAAAATCATTCCTTTTATTGGCTGAGTTGAACAAATCTGTTTATATTTTAAATAAATTAAAAATACATAAAGTATGATAGAAATGAACTGAGATGTACAGCAACTATTTATATTAAAAATTAATTACATACTTTAGCGTAAGCTAATTAAGTAAACCCACACCCTGTGCATTGTAGCCTCCAGACATGTTGAACATGAAGATGTGATCTCTTCAGTATACACTACTTTACATTAACCATAAAACAACAATTAAAAAAATGTCACAAGTTTTTTAACACCATTAGGTTGAACATTATTTTGTGCACCGATCATGCAGAAAAAGAAAAATTAGGTGCAGCGCTGAACTCAAAAAATATTAATTGTTGAGCTGTCAAAAGAGGCTTGGGTCTACTGAGTTGTAAAACCCATATTTAATAGAGAACATGTAGATGATTTTAAAAAAATTGGTCAATTTGAAGCAAGTTGAAAAGAGACTTTTTTGAGCTTTTTTTAACCATGAGAAGGTCATTGAAGGTCAAATCTCAAATCTAAAGTCTTTTGAACTTCCGAGAACTTGTAGATGATTTTGAAAAAAATCAAAATCAGTCTCAATGGCATTTGTTAAGTTATTGGAAGTTTAATAATTTGTTACAGACCCAAACACCAAACCACTACCCGCCATCACAAAAACCAGAGACCATAACAACATGTCTACACTCTTGGTGGTGACATAAAAATGAATGAACCATTTTCCCTATCACACTAGACAAACTCCAACTGATCATACAGTCCAAATAACTCTGTGAAATCAAATGATGGCTTCAAAATCAAAACATCAAACAAAGAAATTGAAATATTTAATTGCAATTAACATTAAAAAAAATTCCCTGCAGCTATTAATATCATACATCAAACTTTTGATGAAGAGTGTATGAATGTATCAATTAATTAATTAATAATAAACCACACGTCTAGTAAGGAGACAACAGATGCTACTTCATGTGGTAATCTTACAATACCCATCAACAAAACTTAAAACAAGTCATGCTTAAAACTTGAAAAAGAGAGATAACCAAGGAACAATGTAGCTATAATTCATATTTAGACTTCAAGTTGTAAACCAAGTACCAAAACTAGCTCTGTAGCTTATTCACATTTTGGAGAGAAAGCTGTGAAATGAGTTTGACAAATGTGTTATTTAGAACCATGGTACAAAACATTAATTAAGAACTCAGATGGGACAAAGAGAGTTTGGTAAAACGTATAGAGTTGACCTATAGGCATGTATAGGGGTATACCCCATAGTAGACACTTAATGACCTTGAACCATTCTGGTAGTATCATGGTCACAAAAGCCTACATATTCATGGTCACAAAGGACAATACTTTATAGATATACAAAGTTAACAATAAGACATAAGTACAATAATTGGAAGACATAAGTACAATAATTGGAAGACATAAGTACAATAATTAGAAGACATGAGTACAATTGGATAAATCACTTGATCAATAAACATAACACTAAAAGGTGAAACCACGATATGAACATTTGGGATATTACAGTTGATAATGATCCACTATAAGATGAGAATTAGACAATGGATAAATAGCACAAAAGAACAAAATGGACAATACTAAATACATAGATAAAATTAACATGAACAATGGTCTTAAGGACATAAAACTATCAAGCAGATTTGAGAAGATACCATAGATATGGGTATACATGTAACCATTGCTTGTCTGGTTGTGTTGGAACTCAGCATATATATTTTTGGTGCAGCTCTTCCTGGTGATGCTAATCCTGGTACAGCTGTTCCTGGTACAGGTATGGATATATGAACATCTCCTGTTCTCTACAGATCTTATATATGGATATATCAGTTAGGGGCATCAGTTAGCATAGTAGTTAAAGTACAATGTCTGGATTTTAGTAAATGTATGGGTGAAGTGAATGTGTACACTGAAGAAAATGCATAGTTTGCAAAAGTCAATGTGTGGATTGTAGTAAATACATGGTTGAAGCCAATGTGTGAATTCTAAATGTATGGTGAAATCAATGAGTACACTGTAGTAAATGTAGGTTGAACTCATTGTGTGGATTCTAGTTAATTAGTCGAAGTCAATGTGTGGAATGTAGTAAATGTTATGGTTGAAGTCAATGTATGCATCGTAGTAAATGCATAGTTGAAGTCAATGTGTGCATGGTAGTAAATGCATAGTTGAAGTCAATGTGTGGAATAAAGTATGATTGAAGCCAATGTGTGAATTGTAAATGTATGGTTGAAGCCAATGTGTGCATTGTAGTAAAATAATGCATAATTGAAATCAATGTGTACATTGAAGTAAATGCATAGTTGAAATCAATGTGTGGAATGTAGTTACAGTATGATTGAAGCCAATGTGTGAATTGTAAATGTATGGTTGAAGCCAATGTGTGCATTGTAGTAAATGCATAGTTGAAGTCAATGTATACATTGAAGTAAATGCATAGTTGAAATCAATGTGTGGAATGTAGTTACAGTATGGTTGAAGCCAATATGTGGATTCTAAATGTTATGGTTGAAGCCAATGTATGTTTAGTAGTAAATGTATGGTTGAAATTAATATATACATTTTAGTGTCCTTTATTGGTTGAAGTCAATGTATCATGCATTGTAGTAAATGTGTGATTGTAGATTGCAGTGAATATATGATTGAGAATTTAGTACACAGGTTACAGGGTCTGGTTACTAACTGTTTTTTATAACAATAAATGATAACCTCACAATATAACATCTTCTTAAGCTCTAGGTAGGTCATATTAACATTAAGTAACACATTAAAAGAGACAAATCATTTTTAATTCTAGGCTTGAGTCAATGTAATATTTCATTAGACATGTATGCATTAATGACACAACAATATGATGAAATAAAAGTTTAACATTTGACCCTCTGGCAATAATAATAATTAGTAACATGCTTGAGGCCATTTAAATATTCTTTTAATTCCACCTGGCACATTCATTAAGTTACTCAACCTGCGCTTTAAGATTCACTTTTTTCTACTTATTCCATGCTATTTATCCCTAATTTTGTACAAGTTTCTGGTTTTCTAGGATTTCTTTCCAACAAATAGTTTTACACGAGCGTATACTCTACTATGCTTAATATTACAAAACCCCATCCTTAATTTAATTTTAAAATTAAAAATGATCACTGTTATTTTAATCAAATTGACCTCCTGTGAGTCAAATAACACGGTGGTCACATTTTAAATTGGAAATTGGGTGAAAAAGAATTAAATCAGGATAAAATTAACTAAACAGACATATTCTTAATGCTCTATATAATATTAATATCCCCCCAAAATTAGGAAGTTTTTCAAATTCTAGAGAAAAAGTGTGGAAAATGGATTGGGCTGGAGAGAATTTCCGTGCACTGGTAATTACTCCAACAATGTAAAATAACAATTAATCATTTGAGGAAACTGGTGTTTAATTAATAAAGTTCTATCAATCTAATTTGTCAAGTCAAGTGCATGCAGACTTTCATCTCATTAGATCTACCGTATTTGTTTGAATAGTGTTGTGACTTTCTATTCTTTTATGATTAGTCTTCAAGATATATTGTAAATATAAAGACTTCGAATGAATAAAATGTATTTTGTTCTTGTGGTTTTGAAATGTGGTAGTGAATGGTGGTGTCACTCCATGTAAGATTGTCCATTCTTGACGAGCTTTGATAAGTCAAAAGATGTTTCTGACTGAAATATGGCTGCATCTTTAAGACTGATGAATGATTCTGTGATATCTGAGAAATTGTTTTAATAGTCTGTTGCTGCAAAAAACTTTTTATCCCTACGGGGAGGGGAAGTAGATACATAGGGGTCTTAATATTTGATGCAAGATTAGTTCTAAATTCTGTTTTTAAATGAATTGTTTAATCAAAATAATTCACCATTTCAGACATTCACCCTGTCAACACCCTAGACCAATGCTATGGCAAAAACATTGTTGCAAGATGTCAATCCGGTTACATGGTCAGTGTCAAAAGTGCATACTATCGTCAATCCAAGAAATGTCCCGGCAGTTTCCATAGCAACTTCTGTATGCAGGAAGAAGCTGGGAATCCTGCATGTATCGGCAATAAGACATGCACATTTACTACACCATGGGTCTATCTGTCCTCCAGCTGTGGTTATAGCAACAGCTTTGTCCTGAAATACCTTTGTATACCAAGTAAGTGAGCAACAGCTTTTTCCTAAAGTGAGTCTTTATATTAATTTTGGTCATTGTGTGTTTTTGTTGATCTATATTTAATCAATAGAGCAAACCACGAGTCAAAAACATAATTTATATAATATATAGATGGACATTATCAAATTAACAAATTAGTGCCATCCAAAACTAACAACTAATATATATCCATAATTCACAAGATTATTTAATAGATTATTTGCTTGGCAATCTATCATTGATGATATTCATTCAATGTATTACTTCTTGATCTTACAGGTTGAAGACACTTGTTATGCACTTTTAAAAATTATTACAGTACTTTCTTTAAAGCTTATATTTTTATACTATAGAAACTTCACATAAGGATGTGTGTGAGACCAAGGTATTCACAGCTATGGCAGGGTATATCACAAGTCCAAACTACCCCAAGATGTACCCCACCAATCAAGAATGTACAGGTACTATTTTTATATCACTTGCTATGAGTTTTCAGGTATTTATCAAACTCCCTCCAACATGTGGATTTCATGTTGCACCTCCTCACAAGTATTTTTTAAACATATTTATTAATTGAATGTTCCCTTCATGGACATTATAAACCCATTAAGTTACAGGCCTGTAGCAAGGATTTGCCAAGGGGGAGGGGGTTCAGTTTTCAGGGGGGTTCACATTTGACAATTTTGGCCCAAATATGCCTAAAATCACCTGAGAAGTGCTCAAAATTGTGAAAAACTGCATGATTTTTAAAGAATTTTTGGCCCAACCCTGCGAACCCCCCCTGGCTACGGGCCTGAGTTAAAATAAAATGAAAAATCATCAATATCTTATTACATTGCAGGTATGATCATGGCACCAGCCAACCATGGTGTGAGGGTCTACCTGTTAGACATCTACCTTGCTTACTATAGCTTTGACATCGAGCGTGAATGCATAGACTTCTTACAGGTATTAGTACTTCTTTTATAAACAGAGCACAACTGCCAAAGGGGAAGGATCAAGAGAAAGACTTTGGATATTTGGATGCTTAATGCAACATTAACACAGAAAGAAAAAATATTTTGTTTAACAAGCATTTAATCATAACTATAAATACAGCAATAGTAATATATTGATAAACTCTTTTTTTAACAAATAACATAACCAGCATATATAGATAGGATGTGAGGACAGTATGAAATTGTTTTCATAAAACCTATTTAAAGGGAGACAATCAATGAGATTATGTTTTTCATCATTTTAAATGTTTTTGTAAATGGCTATAATACTCAAAATTCAACATACAAAATAGAGAAACTGATTAAAATCACTTTTTATTTTGCAAAAAAAAACAATTAAATCAAATATTGCAGTTATTGGATATTCAAAATGTCCAAATTTAATTGTCTCAACTCATTTCTGTTCACCCTTCAATATCTATTTGCAAAGAAATATTCTATGATGGTCAATAAACATAATTGTGCACTGTCTACATGTATATGCTTTACTGTTTATGTTCTCAATGTAGATTTCAGATGCATTCCACAAAAGTGACATTCTACCTTTAAATATGGTATTTGCATAGAAATATTCCATGATGGTTAATAAACATACAATGTAATTGTATACTGACTACATATAGTGTATATGAGTAAATGTTTTACTGTTTATGTTCTCAATGTAGTTTTCAGATGCATTCCACAAAAGTGACATTCTACCTTTAAATATGGTATTTGCATAGAAATATTCCATGATGGTTAATAAACATACAATGTAATTGTATACTGACTACATATAGTGTATATGAGTAAATGTTTTACTGTTTATGTTCTCAATGTAGATTTCAGATGCATTCCACAAAAGTGACATTCTACCTTTAAATATGGTATTTGCATAGAAATATTCCATGATGGTTAATTAACATACAATGTAATTGTATACTGACTACATATAGTGTATATGAGTAAATGTTTTACTGTTTATGTTCTCAATGTAGATTTCAGATGCATTCCACAAAAGTGACATTCTACCTTTAAATATGGTATTTGCATAGAAATATTCCATGATGGTTAATAAACATACAATGTAATTGTATACTGACTACATATAGTGTATATGAGTAAATGTTTTACTGTTGTGTTCTCAATGTAGATTTCAGATGCATTCCACATAAGTGATATTATATGCGCTGGCCACAAGAGGGGGCTCTTGTTCCAGAGCAACGATACCAAGGTGACAGTGACATTCTCAACAACAGAGCATAGTTTCAGAGGCGTCAAGGGATTCTGGATATATTATGAAAGTAAGAAATTTTCCATAATTTATTTCATATGTTAATTTTATCAATTACAATACATGATATACCACCCAGGTTTATAGTATAAACATAAATGGCAGTACATAACAATGAGAAATTGTTAAAAATATCCTTGTGCTTTTCCAAAGTATCTACTAGAGGAGGCAATATCCTCAAAATTATTGCATTTCTAAGTTTAGAATTATTATTGTGTCTATTTAGCATTAAAATCACCAATTAAGTCTAAAATTTTCTCTTAAATTCAGGAGAGATCATTGGCTTTAGATTATTTCATAATCACAGGGTGTGTACAAATTAATTGTGACAGTTGAAAGTGCAGGGTAAGGTTCAACACGAGGGTTATGGAATTTGAGCAAACTGATGTTTTCATCGTTTCTGAAGATCTGATTCTAGGTATTTTTAAATATAAATGTTTATAATAACATCCTAGACAGTGAACCTGACAGAGAAATTATATAAAGCAGGGTAACGGTAAGGTACAACACAAGGAATTTTGGATTTGCGTTATGTATCTCAGGTAAATTGACCTGCGTGTTACACCGTATAATCACAGTTTGTGTAGGTTTAACTATGAAATTCACTGTAAAGATCACTGTCTAGGATATTGTTACAGACATTTACATATAAAAATATCTAGAAACTAGTTCAGATATTTCTGAAATATCAAAAACATCAGTTTTGTTCAATTTCATCACCCCCGTGTTGTACCTTACCCTGTTCGTTCAACTGTCACAACTGGTACAGCCCCTGTGACAATGATATATGCTTAGGATTGATTCCAAAATGTTTTCCAATTAAGTATGGAACAATTAATTTAAATCATACTGTAATGACTGGAAAAATGCATAGAATCTTATTCACAAGAATTCAGCCTCCTGGATTTTATGATAATAATCTATTTATAAACAGGTTTGTTTATAAATTCATATGTCCTTCAGTATGAAACCCTCATCAAATAACCAATACTTATCTGAAAATTTAGTATGTTTGCATTTGGGAATAAATCAAGTCAACAATGTACATGTAGTGTAAAAACATCCCCACAAGTCAATACACATTCTAAAATGTTTTAGACCAAAATCAGTTGTTTATCCAAGTTACATGTATAGATGTATTTTGTGCTTTCTTCATCATGTCCTTATCTATTTCAGCTTTTGATCTTTCCAATGAAAAACTGATTGGCTCCATCCACGATGCTGATTTTATCTACCCTAGTAATTGGCCGATTAAAGTCAATGGTAACCATGGCAATACTGTTAGTAGCCAAGGCAACAGGAATAACACTAACAATCACCATGGTAACAATCATTATGGAAATGATCACAATCCTGATAATGATTATAATTCTGGTTCTACCATTGGTAGCAATGGGGCTTCAAACAATGGTCACCATAGCAACAGCCCTATTAACTCGCATAGCAACATAGATGGTTCCTTTGCCACTGACGTTTCATCTTCCGATACAACTCAATACAATAAACCAAACACAAATTCTGGAATAGCTGGAGAAAATGATGGACATTATCCTCATCAACACAACACTGATCTTACAAATGACGGATATAATCCACATCAACATAAAGTTGAAACAAATGATGGAACTAATCAGTTCAATTCTGGCACACATCTAACAAATGATGGTAGACATGTAAAGGATGGCAAATCAGGAGGTCACTCTGACTTGATAGATCCCAGTCAGAATGGTGCTGCAGATTTGGGGACCCTGGATCCAGACATGGCCATCAGGGAGCTACCTACTGTTAAGGAAAACTCAGAATCCCTGGGTACTGATTTTGAAGCTGCACCACAAACAGTTGGATTAGGTGAGAAATTAATATATGTTGAATTAAAATTCCTTTAAAGGTCCTGTAGAAAATATGGAGAAGTTAAAAAACTAAAATATCATATCCAAACTCAAAATACAAAGCCTTTTTTGTGAAAGAACACTCAAAAGATGCCATGGACCAAAAGACAATTTATATACTGGAACCATACAGAAGAATGGAAATCACTAAATCTACCTGAAACTCTATATTTTCAGGTACAATTCTGACTATAGTGGTTGTGGCGTTAGTTGTTGCTGCTGTGGTGCTCACTACACTTCTTATATACAGAAAGTAAGATTTAAGATTCATCTTTACCTTAATTAGTATACTCAGGCCCGTAGCCAGGGGGTTCACTCAAACCCATCGTATTTGCTAAAAAGTTTATTTTCTATTGAGTTCTAGCAGCATGGAACTTTTCAATATATTCAAAAATGATTTCCTTTCTCGAATATTTATGTTTCATATCATTTACAATCATTGCTTTTTTGCTTAAATGTAGCACTATCACTGATATTATGCAAACCAAGAATCTAATTGATATACATATGCCATCTATATTACTTAAAGTAAATTCACACAAGATAAGCAAAACTGAATGGAGCTAGATAAACAATCTTGATACCAACAGTCAGTTCATCATTATCAACAACAACTGGATTTCTTACCACTGATTCATTGATTCAAATCAACCCATTTTCAAATCAATACATCATATGAATGGTAACCTCTGTAAAGTTAAAACATACACTTCCATTAAAAGTTTGGTTATCACAAGTCCCCTTTTGGACCATGGTTAAAGTCAGTATATATTTGGGGATTCTAACTGATTGATTAATTCTACCATGAACCTGATTAAAAGATAAGATTTGAATAAAAATAGGTCAAAGGGGACTTCAATTCCCAAACTTTTGGAGGTGTTGTGGCTCTCTTACCTGACATATGGCAAGCCCTCATTGCCCTTCTTTGGAAATATTTTTATTCGACACTTCAGGAAAAGCCTTATATTCTGACTTGTACTTTGTGTAGCTGCGTACCAGTCTGTCACTCATCTGGAATAATAAAACTTTTTTTAAAAAAAACAAATATTCAAAAACAAGTGAGTGAATCTGATAAAGAGAATGAAAAAAAAATATCTAAGTTATAAATTTCATGAAATAATTCCATGATTCAATATGACAATGTTATACTTCAGGAAAAAGCGAACACGTCGCCGACTTTCAAGTGTATTTGCACCACCAAGTAAAAAGGCTGCTTCAGCAACAAATGAAGAGGACTTCCATCAGGTGCCATACAATGGAGGAATCCTGGCCTATGACTCGAGTGTCAGTGCTGATAACTATGGCTTCACAGGTGAATTCGACCTTGAGAAGAAGGATCGAAAAGAAAGCGACAGTTCCAGTGGTTACAGCAAGGATAGCTCACATAGACATAGTTTCTATAGTAACAGTACTGGTCACCAGAGCAACAATGCTGATGATGGACACTATAGTGAACCTGACAAAGATCCATCAAGCGGCAGTAATGGAGGATATGAAAAATATGATAGTTCTCCCCTGAAGAAAAATAAGAGTCTTACAGATACTGACATTGATAGCTTATATGCAAAAGTTGATAGAAAAAGAAAAACTAAAAAGACAAACTTGAGCAAATTCTCTAAAAGTACAGGTGATATATCAAAAGATCACAAACCACCTGTACCTAAAAAGCAATTTGCTAAGAATTGTCTTGGTAAAAAGAAATGTCAAAGTCTGGAAAATCTTGATGGTTATTCGTCATTGAGTTGTAATGAAGGAGATCTACTTCAGTCAATATATGAAGATGTTATAGATAAATATGGAGAGCAATGGGCACTTCCTTACAATTACCCTAGCAACGAAGACCTTAGTGACCAAATAAATGAAGCAGGGAACCAAAGAAAAACACAAAGTCTTCCTCCACAAAACCAAGTGAACAAACTCAAAGAAAGACAAGACCTTTCAAAACCACCAAACAAACCACCACCAAGACAAACCAGCACAACAAATCATGGCAAGACATATGATAACCATGGCAACCAAAAAGATCTAAGTACAATAGCTATAAGAAGCAGTCAAGATGAGGATAATGATGATGCTTCAAATGATGTTTATGACAATGTTCAGCCAACTGAAGGTATGAGTTCATGGCATAAGACCATCAATGGGAAACACTATGCATATGATCCTGATCATGATGAAAACATTTCATTATAAAGTTATATGAGATCATGGTATAAGACCATCAATGGGAAACATTATGCATATGACCCTGATCATGATGAAAACATTTCTTTATAAAGTTATATGAGTTCATGGCATAAGACTATTATAAATTATCAATTCAAATAAATATATGTAATGAGTATAAACATTCTCAAATCTGAATAATTTTGATTTTAGACTTGGCACAATATACAATAAAACCTAGTCAGACACCCTCGGAAGCCTTAAAACTGTTCTATTTGTGAGGTGTTCCCCTTGAGAGTTTATTTTATTCAGAAGTTCCAATGGTATCAAAGAGAAAGTACTCAAATGTGAGTACTTAGATATAAATGATAGGTCTCGATGTGCATGTAGATAGGGTGAATATCCATGAAATAAATATATTCTATTGTACAGGTTCTGTTTATTGTATACTTAGTTATGACTGTTGACTAATATAGACTAGGAAGAACTGCCTATTATAAATGTTAACATAGAGAAACACAGAATACCCATGATCTCAGACTCAGATGATTTGGAAGATTTTTCGTATTACTGAATTGTTTGTAGATGTAATAGGTCATAAAGTGTGAAGTATGATTGATATTGTTCGCTGAGTATTTCTCCCTTTGTTTTTATAGTAGTTGCTATGACATCTGAGAGTATAAATAGAAGACACATAAGAAGTATTTTTTTATAATTTTGCAGCTCTACATGAAAATAAATTAACTGAATGCTTATGTAAAATTACCTAAACCTGACTGGTGTTTGTACATGTTTCTCAAACACACTAAAATTAGACTGCAATTCATGATTACGTGTGAAATGGTTTTATTTATTTTCAATTGAAAACATTTGATGTAATGCATTTGATGTACTAATGTATATATATAGGTGTTGAAATAAATGCTTTTATTTTACAGCTATCAAAATGTGTATTTGTGTTTTACAGAATATAGCTAAATGAAAATACAAATATAATTCATGAGCTTGTCTATAGCCTATTCAACCTTTGACCTATTCCCTCTGTGAATGACAGTATACACCCCAGGCCTGTCAACTATCCAGCAATTTGCGTATTTGTCACGCATTTGCTTAAGAATTTGAAGTCACGCCAGTTATTTTTGCGTGACAGAAAATGTCACGCAAATACGCATTTTACCTGGTAATTGTCAAGCAAAAATATTTCTGTAGAAAAATTTCTAAAAAAGTTCGTGTACACAGCAAAAATACGAACGCCGAAAAAAAACGTACGCATTTCGTTCGGACTTTTCACGCGAATTACGTATATGTCACGCATTCCGTTCAAAATTTGGATCAAGGTGTTCAGATTTGGACCAAGGTGTCCACATTTTGAGGGGAGGTGTTCAACATTTCCAAGTCACTCATGTTAGGTGTACCCAAGTTGACAGGCCTGAAACCCTACCTATAAAAGTCTAGTCTAGCTACAAGCCTCTGTGACCCCCCCCCCTCCTCTACTCGACTAAGCAATTTCTCACACACTTGTTGGCAAGGGCTTGGAGCGAGACTAATAAAACTCCAAAGACCTTCTAGTGACACTAAAATATACATAACTTACTTCCCAGTTTATGCACACACAGTACTAATATACATTGACCTTTGACGCAAAGATAACTTTGACCATGACCTAACTTGACCTTTACAGGGGTTCTAGGGATACCAAATACCAAACAAAACTATTTAGGTCAGCAAAGATCTCCAAAATTTAAGAAACTAAATGCACAAAATGGTACACTTAATAATTTATAAGGAACAAGAAAGGTTGCCATGGAAACAACCTGATTTTGAAAAGGTGGGGGAATATTATTTTAAAATATTCATTTCTGGAATTCCAAAGTCATGTAACCTTTAAAATGGTATATTATGAGCCATGTAACTTTTTGTGCATTAATCTACCCCTAGTCCCCATTTATAGCATAAAATAAGGGATATTTGTTGACCTAATTGCCATGTTGATGTGACCTAGGTCATTCATGTAGGTGACTTTAAAGGGGTGTTTATGTTGTCAGGGATCATCAATTTCATCATAAGATTGACCCTCATCATGCTTGACGTTCATCACTAAATATTCAATGATCCTGTGACCTTGAGGTGACCTTAAACCTTGAAGCCCCTTCTCAGATACGGCCCTTTATTAGACCCAATCATTTTGAAGTACGGTAGTTGCCCATATAATATATAAAGTAGCTGTCACCGTTTGGTCTCACCATTCACCACTATTTGAATAATTTGGACATTCATCTTTTAAATCAATTAATTAATATTTATATTTGATGCGAGGGGGATATCTTTCTACAAATTGTTTTGCCCATCCTGTGTTCATGCCATACCCCACCATCTGTCCAAAGTATTCACATAGTGGCAAACAGTGAGCATGACTAATGTGACAGCTACATAAAGCACATGTAACTGGTAAACAGCAGACCACAGTTTCAGATCCAGACTCGTTAGAATGAACTAACCATTAAATATAAAGATGTCACTGAATAAACTTCTGAATGTAAATAAGTAACAACAAGATGGAAATGGAAGTGTGATGCAGCTGGTATCTGCAACAAATTGATATAAATCATAACCTTGCTCCAGGCCTGAATAAATGAAATTTACATCCAATTTGTATATCCTGTGATGAGCCAGATACATGACATATACTACAATGGTATTACATTGTCCATGTTATCAAAACAATGATAAATGTAATTGGTGACTTCATTTGACAGAAAAGAAAAAAGTAATGGAAATTACTGTTATATTTCAAATTGTAAATTAAAGTGAAAAGGGGTAGAAGAAATGATGCATTTTTTGTTGAAGCTACGTGCATGTTTTAAATTGAAACTGATACTAAAGTAAAAAGGAGATTAAGATGAAATACATGTGTGTTGAAGATACAAGTATGTAAGAAAATTAGAAGTGAGGAAGAAATGACCAAGTGACAACATTAATGACATCGATTTTCAGCTGAAACTATAAGGAGGTTCAATAAAAAGGTCTGATTCAACAAAAAGTTACAATTAATAAAAGGTATCTGTTATCATTTTCTTATTTTCAAGTTCGCAGGTTTAGGCCTTCAATTGTTTGATATAGAGATAATCGAAAAAGCACAAAAGGCAAGATTATAAAAGCACTTAACAAATGCCAAAAATCACAGATATTCCCCAAATAAATTATTTACAATTATTGTGCTTATAAATCAAAATTAATAATGTATTGTAAAATATCACGCAACAAGATAGAAGACAATCTTCTTTATACTGCTGATGTAATGGAATTATTGATCGAAACACTGTTTGTGTGATACATTGTGTTATCTTAGAGTCCATGAATCATGTAACATAAATATAAGCTTCATCACTTTCTTCATAAGAATCAGGTAAGAGAATAAATTGCACTTACGGCATACTTTGTGCCTGGCTTTAATGACCAAAATGTAAGAATCAGGTAAGAGAATAAATTGCGCTTATGGCATACTTTGTGCCTGGCTTTATGACCAAAATGTTACTTAAGTAATTGGACTTTTGGATGATCCACATTTTATGGTTTTTATTGTTATCAATTATGGCAATTTAATATGATGATTGAAATAATTCAATAGAAAATTAAAATGTTCCATAATTTGGTCGACTTATTGCTATAAAATATATAAAAATCTTTCAGTTATGTAAACTATATTTGCAATGAGCTTTATATGTGCTTTAATATATGATGATAGGTATATGCAATTAGAATTCCTAACATGTTTGTAATAACTGATATAAACCATGTAAAACATCAGAGATTTCGTAATGTCTAATTACTCCAATTATCAATATATACCTGTCATTCCAATATAATTTCATTCTCTGATCATTAAATACCTGTTCCCATTTATATGACTAATCTGCAATGTAGGGAACTTGAACATTTAAAATGAAAAATATTTCAGATGTTCTAAACATAAACTGCAAAATAAAAGTGAAAACCTCTGGCATATATTTTTCATATAGTCTTGACAGATAAGGGGCATGTTCACATCTTATTTATCATAAAAATATACCATCCCAGTACACTATAAATCAGCAAACTAATAAGGTAGACTCCTTAAATACTACTACTATGTTTTACATGTGTATGATCTCGGGATAAAGCATATTTATATGACTTTTGTAATGTCATCTAATTTTTTGTTGTTTATTTCATGGGTATCTAATCTATGTTTAATGTTGTTTCATTTTAATCCAAGTTTGATGGTTCAATCAAAGTTTCTGATTCATTCTTGCTGAATTTAAAAATACATGTAAAATCCATGTAACAACGTCACATCTATATTATCATATTATAAAACACTTAATTTACAGTTGATCCCCAGATGTGACACATACAGTATTTCTGGAATCTCTGCAATTGACATACTAGATTAAAAGCACCTTCAAATTATCCTAAACACTTTGAACATCATCATAGTATTCCATGATGTGATGGTGTCACATGCAGATGAACTATGATGTAGGCGGATATGGAACAGTTTGTGAGATGTGTGTTTTCAAAAGGAACAAACTTACAACTCTAATATTATAATGAGGTAAGAGTAAACACTGAAACTGTAATACCTTGTGAACATAGAAATAAAAGAAAATATGATAACAAATGTTATATAAATGGGAGTTAATACTTGTTTCTATCTTCTGATCTTTCAGCATTGGGGCAATGCAAATGTTATCAATGTAAACTTATTAAATCATCACCATGAAAACATTTAAGGCCAAAATAACTGCTGACATCCAAATCAGTTAATTAAAAATATAAAGTATTTACATTTGCAAAATAGAGAAGCCTTTGATTAATAAAGTTATTTCTCGTGTGATCTGTAAAATGAGTCTACAGTCTACTGCACATTATGCCTGCTTTGGACAATTTTGGTATTTTTACATATTGTGGATTTAAATGTCTTCTTTTTAATATGCATAATTTGGGTGTTATTTTTATATATTCATAAAAAATTATTAGCACAGTAAACTGATGAACTTCGTTCTCCAAACCGAGACTTGTCTTTCATTGAATTGGTTTACTGCAAGTTAATGTTATTTCTTTATTTTTCATAAAAAACACCAGCCCAGGAGACTGTTCTCCAAGCCGAGACTTGTCTTTTATTATTATGAGAGCTTTCTGATCACCTCTCAAATATGTAGTCCAACTTGACTTATACCTCATGCAACTTATTCCAAATATCAAGCTGTAAATAAACAATTTTCACTTATTATAATGATATAATGAAAATTTTCCATTATTCTAAAGGTTATTTCTGATAAAACATTACTGGAGAAGGTTTCCCAAAAGGCCTAATCTTATGAAGATGGGATCTCAATGCAGTTGGAAATACTTACTGAAGTGAACATACCAAGGGAGCTACCACCTAATTTTGTGAAGGATGCAACTGTTGAACAAAGGTACAAAATTGGTTAATTGGTAGGTGAGGCCACGTGATGCAACAGTTAAATTAGGTAGTGACAATTACTATATCCTATTGCCTCCAAAAAGAAGCCTCTTCTTAGCCCTAATGTCACCCAACTGATATTTTGCTAATTTCTCTTTTCTCTTTACCTTCATAAGGCCCCCCTTCCTTTCATTCTCTTCTATCAATCTCATTTACCATTTTTCCCTCATCTTCAATACTAACTTTACAAAAGCTATATCATTTGTTGGTATATCTCTACCACATAGCATCACTTCTCTAGGATTAATTTTTACAAATATGACCTTTTTACTTGAATTACAGAGGCTTTTAGACTTTCCATGATTTGGCTAAATAGATGAAAACATCATCAAACTAACACATTCAAATTAAAGGGGCAATAAGGCCTTTAGAGATAAAATAGGAACATTTTAACTTTTTCTGAGCAATCAAGGCAACATTTGGCTTGACATCTTCTTTGCATTAGAAGTGTAAATTCAGTTCAAAGCTTCAAAAAGGGGAAATCTACTTTTATATTTTTAAGATCCACCATGTTTCAAGAGGAATACCAGCTGAAATAATGTTTATCTAGGGGGTTTCTAAATGTAGATAATAAAAATAGACGTAAGTCTTGATGAAATATCCAAATTTAAATATATTTTGACGCTGGTCCATGATCGTTGAATGGCCCCTCTCCACTAATTGTTGCACCTTTAAGAGGCAGAGTGCAGAATATGACAGTTACATAATAGACATAAACATGGTACAAGTTACACTTGCCAGTATAGCAATACCAGGAGGTTTCAAGATGTAAGAAAAAACTGATGATATAACTGATTTCAGTGAACATGTTAAGACAAACAACAGCACCCTCTGTGTTCCATGCTACACACACTATAGCATCAGCCAGTATACCTATGGAAACCACAATTCCAACAAAGGCAAACCCTAAACCACAGTCTACTACAACTGAACAATATAATGCAACAACTGAGCAAGTTATTACTGAGCAAGCAACAACTACTACAATAGATAACACAACGGAAGCCTTTAAAACTGCACATGACATTACAACCACAAAAAACAAAGAAACTACAACTGGCTATGATGACATCATTTATACAAGTAAAGGAAACAATGACATCCTAAAAGGTGTGGAAATGAGGACTACTGAATGGGATGTTGTTATGAAAGATGGAGTGAACACAATGGTGAATGAAACAGAAGCTGCCGGACAGCAGGGTGAAGGGAACAATGGTAAGACATCCAATGAATAATATTTGTTTCCCAAGAATTCTGTGTATGATTTATGAAAAAAAGCCTGCAAAATATGTTTAAGCAAATAATTTTGCAGGATCTTTTTATGAACCATACACAGAATTTTTGGTTTGATGTCTTGAACATACACTATGCAACACTTATCGTTCTTTACCATATTTGTTTGGAATTTGAGATTAGTTTCCTTGACTGGTTATTATGTTCATTTCATCTCCTTTACCTTCTGACACTCATGCTCACATATTCAAAAAAAATATATCCAATTCTGTATCATCAATCAGAAAATATTTGGAACATAATATAAAGCCCTTAATAAACAGTAACAAGAGTCAACGTCAAACAACACTGATGATATGGTAAGAAAATTATATGATTTAACATGGGAGTATTGAAAAATGCTTCAAACATCAGAAACGTAGTCTTGTTGATTGCTAATGAATCCACTGGAAAGGTATTATATTACAAGATATGAGTGTTTTATATAAATAGCAATTCAGATACAGCTATAGTTACAGCACTAGATTTAGTAATTTTCAACGCAATGTTTTGATCATGGGCTTTCACCTAGACACCTTATTTGTTCAAAAGTTTCCTATTTTCAGGTGCTGGCATAATGGCAGGTGTTATCGCAGGGGTGGTGATCTTGATAATTCTTGTCCTTCTCGTGGTTATACTACTGTATCTATGGCGATGTCGCTTAAGGGAGGAGTCAAGACAACCTCAAGCTCATAGATATGAGGATGATGTTGATACCGATAAACCCAGTTTTGATAACCCTGTGTATGAAGGAGATAGTGGAAAGTCAGAAAGCCCCACTATTGTACTCTCTGATAATTCTGATAGAGGGATTGACACTGGGGAACAACACATGCAGAACAAAATGGCTGTTGTGTCACCATATATGACATATGCAGAGCCACATTTATATGCTGTACCACATAAAGATAGATCTAATTCAATGAATGGTCACGACTCTGATTTAAGCTCCGATATATATGATGATATCTTGAGTACTAATGCTCCAGATGTCCCAGCTAAATCAACAGAACTGCTGAACTCTGATGTTGACGATAATGACCCTGATGAACCAGATGCAGATTTTATGGCTTTCATTGGAGTAAATATGTCTAATTATGACGATGTAGTGATACCAATGACCCAAAGTCCAAAACAGAGAAAGAAAAGTCACCCATATAAAACAATAAGTGAAGGACTTAATAAAATAGATATAGATGATAGGTCACTCTTAAACACAAATATTGACACTGATGCACATATAAGCACAAAAGATGATCTAAATTATACTGATGATGATTTCAAAATTGATATTGATAATCCAAATACCCCAGTAAAGCTTGGTAGTGCAGTGCAAGATTCTAACAATGATATCACAAACAAAATTATCCATCCTTTTGAGACAATAAATGATTCTCAAGACCACTTGATGACAGAAATCAACCTCGAAACTGAAGATATTCCTATCCCACCTCCAAGAAGAAATAGCAAAAAGGTTGAGTCAAAATTGAATTTAAAAACATCTCAAGAAATGGCACCACACTTAATTTCAACTGTAGAGTCAAAAGACATTGTGAAATCACAAAGCAACAAAACTTCCCGTCAGAATTCAAATAACAATTTGTCCAACACAACTTCTCGTCAGAATTCCAATGACAGTGAGACATCACAAAGCAAAACTTCTTCTTGGCAGAATTCAAATAATAGTTTGTCATCAGAAAGAAACAAAACTTCTCGTCAGAATTCCAATGACAGTGTGACATCACAAAGCAAAACTTCTTCTTGGCAGAATTCAAATAATAGTTTGTCATCAGAAAGAAACAAAACTTCTCGTCAGAATTCCAATGACAGTGTGACATCACAAAGCAAAACTTCTTCTTGGCAGAATTCAAATAATAGTTTGTCATCAGAGAGAAACAAAACTTCTCGTCAGAATTCAAATGACAGTGTGACATCACAAAGCAATTCACCCTCTAAGAATTCAACTGGAAGTTTGAATTCTCAAACCTTACGTAAAAATTCCAATGATAGTGCAACATCAAAAAGTAACATAACTTTACATCAAAAACTAAATGAATTCACTTCACGGCAGGATTCAAATGACAGTGTGACAACACAAAGTAGTTTTGACGACAGAGACAACGATGATCAACCCTCGAATCTTAGAAGATTTAAACCAGCAATATTAACAGCTTTGACATCATTTGAAGATGATGCACATGAAAGACAAAACACTGACACTGATATACAAAACAGTGAGTCTGATTACTACAACGATACAGACATTGAAAGGTATAATGCTACTTGCAGAGACGATAATGATGAAACTGGTCTCTATAGCGATGTTGCTAGCACTAGTGAAAACATCCACAAAGAAGATGAAATCAGGTCTTCCCTACATGTAACAAGGACTGGTGCTTTTCCAGGCTTAGTTGATAGAGGGGATGAACTCAGTTACAATGATACTGAGCATATATATAATGAAATAACAAATGATATACAAGACACACCTACTGAAAATGTGTATCATGATGTAGAGCATCAAAGTGAAGTGGACACTGAACCCACATACAGCGAGGTACTGGAAACTGTTTACTATAATGTGGAAGATGATACTGGGAATGATGCTGATAATGAAGATGTGACTCCATATGCAATTCATTACCCAGATTCAAATAACAAAGACACATCAGATGATCAAAACTTTGTAGATAATGAATTGTATAGTACAGCCAAGCACATGGGAAGCCAGTGAAATTCTCATGCATGATGTACAACAACTCTAAGTACATGGCAAAATGACTTTGAATTTGTACCTACATCTGCTTTCTTATGATTTATGTGACTAAAGCAATAGAATTTTCCTAGCTGCAAAATTAAGGAACAAGAGTTTTATGCTATGGACATTTCATTTTAAGAGGAGTCATTGCAAACTTTAGATATCTCTCAGTATTTCAAAAGTTTACTACTTATACTTCATATACATGTATATGAGCAATGCTATTTGTAACTGTTTGAAGGACAATGTTAAATGCAACAAAAGTTGATTTTGAAAGAAAATACATTGTAAATAATATCAAAAACAAAAACCAATATCTGGTAAATACTCAGAAAGTTGGAAGTATATTTGCATGGTGGGCTACTAGTATTTAGTTCATATTTCCAGCCGAAAGGACTCTCACAAAAGGTTTTTACATTTTCACATTGCTACATAATGTCATCAATTGAAAGCTTAGTGATATACAGTAATTCCATTGCAATATTAGTATTTGGACTCTGGCTTGTCAGTGTATATTTGATTCAAAATCTTACAACACCTAATGCAACCTAATGCAAAATCAAGCATGAACACTTATAATGTTATCAAGCTAATTTTTCAATATCATCAAAAGCTCATTATTTTTCACAATGTGAAAACCTTTGGAGGAGAGCTATGTTAGAGAAATATTTATAAAAGTACCTGTTCTTATACTCTGGTAATTTAACATACATATATATAAATGGTCAGATCAGTCATGTCAATGACATGCATGATACTTCCAAATCCTCTTCATATTTTTTTAATTTTCTAAAATTTTGAAGATTTTTTTTAAGGAATTTAGTGTAATTTTGCCAAAACTGAAATGCAACTTTAAAATGATGAATAAGGCTATTATGATAGTGAGTTATTATCTATTTATATTTACTTGTTTATTGTTTTAATGATGAAAAGTTATCATAGATTATTTCATTTGAAAATTGTATACTTTATAACGTTATATATTAGATAGTTTTCATATATATACCTTGCTAATTGCAGAATCTATATTTTTAGGTTTAGCTAACATTCTATAATATTATTACATATGTTAATTATTTTTACAATAATTGGTTAATAATAATAATGTTAACATGTTTCAAGTTAAAAAGAAATATCTATTACATCATAACTGTATGTTACTGCATTCAGCATATTTATAATGTAAATTAAAGTACATTAAACAGAAATATTGGTATATGTCAAACTTAATATATTATTTACTTAAAATATATGGCAAAATATCATTGATAGTAGAATATAATACAAAATATTATCTATGTTTGAGTTGTGTTATAATAGGGGCACAGGATATATTATCTAGGCAAGGCATAAATGTCACAACCTGCCATCTATTACAGACACTGAACACCAACTACTGAACTCTAGTAGAAAACCATAACCACCAAATGGAAACTGCCAAACACCAACCACCAACTCAGATATCCACAAAAAATTAGAATCTATATCTAATTGTCACCACTTCTGGCACTGACATAAAAACATTAGGATATAACAGGCTCTACAAAGATACATCATTTATTTTATTTAATGCCTTGAAAATTCAGGAAATTGGTATAATTCATGATTTATCTACATGAGAAAATGATAGACAAAATAAACCATATGCATTAGACACATTCATACAACTATCACAATACTCATTACAACTAACTCTAATTAGTTTCTGAGATAGGGCTCTATTTGCATTATTTGTTGATCGCCCCTTGTATTACAATACCCACAACAATACATTACATTTACATGCATAAGTGCTGCTACTTTTTAAACAGACATTGTATTTTTGCGTATTCACTTGTCATTGTGGGATCTACATCCTCTACTACTGTATCTCTTCGGATAAAGATTACTCTAATAAATCAGAATTACTGAATTACTTATATCTGTAGTAAGCCGGAATGACAAATAAATAAGCGAAACAGAAATTCAGTAATTTTATTATTTATTCAAGCAGCAATACTTAATCAAATAAGTAATGATTTATGCTAAATGATATAATATGGTTTGTTCTCATGCGCTTTAAAGAAGGATTAGTGTATCTATAAAATAGGTACCGAGACTTAGGAAACCAGTGACATACAGCTAGCCAGCATTATAAGCAAGGTGAGTTTTATTAGTTAATCTAGATATTGAAATGAACATCAAAGACACCTAAATTAAAATCAAAGATATTCGAAGTTACCTATATGTAAAAGAACTTAAATAGATCTTGGAACCAGGAACCTTTTCTTGTAAATAATTTCTTTCTTCTCATTTGAGCTTTTCATGTTATTTAATGTTATCATTTGACATTTCTCTACAAAAGATAATCTAAAATCATGCGTTTTAAATGCAATCATCAATACAACTCAATTGTATACTTTTGTAAATATCTATTTTTTCTGCGTAATGTAAACCACACTGCATGCATTCACATTTTCCATGGATTGATCCATGCACACTGCACATCTAGTATCATCATTTAAGTTGATGAAATACTACTACCTGGCAGAGCAGAGATATATGAATGCATATTTCTCATTCAGAACATCATGAAGTATCCAACCATTATGAATGCATATTTATCATTCAGAACATCATGAAGTATCAAACCATTATGAATGCATATTTCCTATTCAGAACATCATGAAATATCCAACCATTATGAATGCATATTTCTTATTCAGAACATCATGAAGTATCCAACCATTATGAATGCATATTTCCTATTCAGAACATCATGAAGTATCCAACCATTATGAATGCATATTTCCTATTCAGAACATCATGAAGTATCCAACCATTATGAATGCCTATTTCCTATTCAGAACATCATGAAGTATCCAACCATTATGAATGCCTATTTCCTATTCAGAACATCATGAAGTTTTTTTTGTTTTTTTTTAAATATTTATTGCTTCATAAAAATATCATAATATTTTTTTTAATTATTTATTGGAATCACTTTTAAAACAGTGGCACACACATTGAAAATGTGGTGCATCCACATACAAACATGCTTATACAATTACAGTCAAAATTAAAATACATAATGTCACTAAAATACATCAATCCTTATTATAGGGAATATAAATTGCTTTCAGATATTTCTTTGCACATTGATCTAAAATATGACCTTGTTCATTTCCCCAGTCAATGAAAGCTTTATCACCCATGGTCAAGCATATTTTAATTGGAATTTTAGCAGAAATAAGGCTAGATGACAGTTGTTCATTACAGGAGTTTATCACGTTCAGAAAGAAGTTAGTTCTTTCATTGTTAAAATGAGGACATACAAACATACGATGCTGGATAGAGTCCTTGACATTCGTATCACATAAATTGCATAACCCATTACCTTGGCCCCATCGCTCCTTGTCAGTATTCAGCCCAAAACACCCTGATCTTGCCTTGAATTTCAGAACATCATGAAGTATCCAATCATTATGAATGCATATTTCCTATTCAGAACATCATGAAGTATCCAACCATTATGAATGCATATTTCCTATTCAGAACATCATGAAGTATCCAACCATTATGAATGCATATTTCCTATTCAGAACATCATGAAGTATCCAACCATTATGAATGCATATTTCCTATTTAGAACATCATAAAGTATCCAACCATTATGAATGCATATTTCCTATTCAGAACATCATGAAGTATCCAACCATTATGAATGCATATTTCCTGTTCAGAACATCATGAAGTATCCAACCATTATGAATGCATATTTCCTATTCAGAACATCATAAAGTATCCAACCATAATGAATACATATTATCTATTCAGAACATCATAAAGTATCCAACCATTATGAATACATATTTCCTATTTAGATGAAGTATCCAACCATTATGAATGCATATTTCCTATTCAGAACATCATGAAGTATCCAACCATTTTACTGACCCTGGTTCTTGTGAATGTGCTCATCACCAGAACCCAAGGAGAAGATTATGATTATGAAAGCAATCCATGTCAACAGGAATGCGATGATATTTACGAAAAAAAATGTGTAAGAACCGAAGTCACCAAAGAAGCAAAAGAAGAACAAAAGAAATGCATAAAGGAACATGGAGATTGTTGGTTGGCGGCCATTGACTGTCCAGAAGAAAAGAAATCAAAAGAAGAGGGTGAAAATAATGGTAATGAATGATGGTGAAGGATAATGGAATGGAAATGATGGTGACGATAATAGAAATAATTGAGCACTATACAAATGAATACTTCAAATTGAAATATACTGTACCCTTTCTTTAAATAAATCAAATGAAACAGAAACAAATATCTTTTTCAGTTATTAATCAAGCAAATACTTAATCATTTGAAATAATGGGCTTGTAATTTTTTGAAATGTGGTCCCAAGTGACATGTTGAAGTGTTGAAATGTTTTTACTACTGACCATTGAGGTGATATTTACTAATTACCGTGACCAAGTGTTTGGCCCTAATAATATGTCAATAGCATACAGAGAGCCACTATCACCCTCTTATAGACATTAGACCACCTACCCGCAAAAATGACCTTGACCTGAGCGACAAGTTCAAATAGTTTTGAAATGTAAATAAATTACTTTCATATAATTTTGGCCTGTTCCTTCCCTTGCCATATTTTAGTAGTTAACCATGTAAAATACAGTCAGAGCTTTCAGTAACGCGTCCTCTATATTAAGAGGACCCGGATTTTGATGAAGGGACTCAAAAAAAAAAAAAGATCCATCCCTGGGACGCAAAGCTGTAAAGTTCGTTTCCAGACGATCAAACCTCAAAAAGGTTATAATGAAAACACGCGCTATGCGCTAACGCGCTAGCGCACTAACGCACTGTTCAGAATGATCGTTCCCACAGGCCCGGGAACATGTATAAAACTCGAGTGAGTGAAGAGATTAGGTGGCGCATCAGAAAGCAGAAGTATGAAGAAGCCCAATGTTTGATCGTTACGTTAACTG